AAAAATTATTTATTGAAAATTATATTGTATTAAAAATTAACCAAGTAATAAAAAGACCCATAATAAACTGCTAATTTTAAAAATATCAATTTTATTTTACGAATTTTATGATCTAAAATTATTGCTTTTATTCAAGGTACTTTTAGTCAAGTAGAAAACGGGGGTTATTAATGGAAAAAATTGTATTTTTATAGTTTTGGTTTTGCATAAAAAATAATATTACTTTCAAAATCAGCATATAGTTCTGCATCGTACATATGTAGAAAGCACGGGGTACAAGGGGGCGGGGAAGGAGTAGGGTAGATCATTGAAAACATACAACTGCGTATAAGAAAGGAGGGTGGGTCCTAATTCAGTGCTTTTTCAGTGCTAAATCAGTGCTTTGTAATTAAGAACTTGATAAATTTATTTTTGTTTGGAATTAAAATTTGTCAAAAACATACAATGTAACACTACCTTCCCTTGCTTTCTATAAGATATTTACTTTCAATATTATGTGAAGCTACAGTATTGGACAAAACAATTGCAACCAACATCGAACAATGCTAAAAAGTGTTCCTAATTTTACATGTCTTAAAAACGAAACGAACTATACTACCACAGCAAACAGTTCAGGAGTCTGGAGTCATAGTATGCCATGACATGAGCAATCATCTGACAGGTGACAGCACACACGTAGAATTTCATTGACAAGTGCTATTTTGCAGCGGGCAAAACAAGTGCAACTTTTTTGGTTTGTTTCATTTTCTTAAGTCTGGTCCGTGTCAACGTCACGGAAGTTTTTTAATAATTAAAAGAAGTATCCAGAAGTTTCCAGAAGTTTACAAAAACATGAAGAAGTTTCCAGAAGTTTCCAGAAGAAGGATCTGGAAGCATCCAGACGCATCCAGAAGCTTCCAGAAGCATCAAAAAGAAGCATCTAGAATCTTCCAGAACAGGTTCACACAGGTTCATTTTACTATATAAGAGACATGTAAACCGACATGTAATTCAGTAAGTATATGGAAGTCAATCAGTCAGTATTATCAAGATAGTTTATCGAAGTGAGTTTTATCAAAGTGTTTTATCGAAGAACAGCAATACAAGAAGTGAAATGCAACAAGTGTTTTATTACATCAATACAGTTCATATCCAACCAAAACGTTGTGTTCCCCAGAGCATTATTGTATCATCACAAGGTAAATGTAACACGGTAAGCCTTGAGAAGCGTGATTATTTATTTTTATGACTTCAAGTGCAAAAATGGCTCCCGACAGTCTTTATTGGAACAAAGGAAGAAAATTATTGGCGATTATGTAAGTGTAATGTCACAAAACAGTATTTGTGATAAATGTTGCGTGAAAAAATGGACCGTATCAAGACTATGTTCCAAATATCGTTCTACGGGGAAGTTGGCAGCAGATAACAAAGGTGGAAGATCGCGTTCCACCACTTCTAGAGAGGATTCTATGATCGTCAGATCCATCAAGAGGGATCTCTGGATATCATCAGTCGAAATAAAAATGCAATTAGAGCTGCCTGCATCGGACCGAACAATCAGACGACGTGCTGTTGAAGCCGGATTGTTTTCTCGATGCCCTGCAAAGAAACCGCTGATTTTACTAAAGAACCAGAAGAAAAGACTCTTGTTTGCTCATCTCATATTAACTGGAATGTACAGAAATGGCGAACTGTCCTGTTCAGTGATAAATTGAAGTTCAACATCATTGGGAGCGATGGCATTTGCTGTTTACGTCGACCGGCGAGAAAACGCCTCGATTTACGTTATTTCATAAGACCGTGAAGCATGGATGAGGCAATGTAGTGGCCTGGGCGTGTTTTTCTGCTAACGGTCTAGGTCCAACACATCGAATTGATGGAACAATGGAGTGTTTCATGGAAAAATATCCTGAAAGATATTATGTAACCTCATACTGAATGGAATATGCCAATAAAATGGATTTTTCAACAAGACAACGATCCGAAACACAATGCAAAAGTAGTCAAGCAGTGGTTTCAAGACAATCACCTATCGATGATGAATTGGCAGCCTCAATCTCCGAATCTCAACCTTATTGAGAACCTGTGGGAGATCGTTAACCGCAGAATTAATTGTAAAGGTGTTCATAATAAGGATCAACTGTTTGAACAAATCCAAAAGGTCTGGGCAGCGGTTCCACAAAGTTTCATTGATCACCTGATCGAATCTATGCCTCGAAGATGCTAGGCTGTGATCGACAACAAAGGATTCGCCACGAAATATTGATAGCGAAATACAGCTTGGTCAACATTTTGTGGAGTTGCACTTGTTTTGTCGAGAACGAAATCAACTTTTTTTAATACTTTTGACTAACTTTTAAAAATAAAAAATAAAAATAAAACTTTTTTTAATACTTTTGATTAATTTAAAAAAAAAAAAAAAAAAAAAACGACATAATTTTTTCACAAATATAGTAGTAAACGACTGGAACAATCTTGAACAAGAAACAATAGACGCAGTCAGTATCAACCAGTTCAAAAAAAAATTGGATGAACATTTTAAATACTAACTTTTATTGTGTTTGTGTTATTAAGGTTACAAACTCTACGTAGTTTGGACTCATAACTCTTTAAGTGTACAGCACATATATATATATATATATATATATATATATATATATATATATATATATATATATATATATATATATATATATATATATATATATATATATATATTTATATATATATATATATATATATATATATATATATATATATATATATATATATATATATATATATATATATATATATATATATATATATATATATATATATTAATTTAATAACTTTCGTGTACAAATAATAAACTTTGTGATGAATAAAACTTGAAGAACGTTGTCTCTAAACAGTTACACAGTTATTTCTCTAAATTGAAAAAATGCAACACTTTTATATAAAGAAAATAAATTAGCATAATTTCTTTGAACTTGTTTTGACCGATACTGTATATGTAGTTGCATTTTCTGCGTTATTTTAACAACGTATTTTTTTAACGGTTAATTTACAAAATAATTTACGGGTAAAATTTTATCTTTTATTCAGGCAGTTGTTATGGACAACTTTATAGGAAGTAGACTTTTAAAACTTTTAGAAGGATCCTTTATAAAACGCTTTTTTTGGTATTTTGTTGAGTTTTTTTATTATAACTTTAAGTAGCAATTATGATAATTTGTTTTCAAAACTGTTTTATTTGCTAAGCTTATTGATGTTCTTTCCCGTTGCAAGCTTTGTTTAAGGCTTAAAATAATGTGCACCCCGATCCCTAATAGGGAAGGGGCATTTTTCAATATCTATCAAATTGGCCTACAAGTTACTAAAACTGTAAAATTATAAAAAGACATGATTAAATATTTGCAGTATTTTTTTCTTGATTTTAAGACGTTATTGATTAATGAAAAGCAAAAGGTAAAGTTTTTTTTTGCTAAATTTGAACTATTTAAAAATATAGTTGGGGTTAATCCGTAAAAAGTACCGACTGGTTACTTTTTACGGATTAACTAAAATTTACCTGACGACACGTAAAAAATCTTTGCTTCTTTAAAACACTATAAAAACAAATATTAAAAAATCTTATTAATCTAAGCTTAAGATTTTATTCTTTGTATTTTGTGAATATTTTACATCTTAGTTGAGAGAAGCAAAAGCTAGAAATATGTTACACTCAACATCAAAAGACAATTCGATTCGGAAAACATCTACTTTTTGTTGTTTCACAAGAGTAAAAAGTAACATAACAACTTGAGCGTTTTATTACTTTTTTTTTTTTAAAAAAAAAGCGTGATTCTTAAATTGACAATAAAAATTTGACTTAAAGATGTGCATTTTTCGCTTGTGGCTTTTATCTTTTCGCATTTATATATTTTGTTAAATATATAAAGAATACCCAAATACTACGACGATCAAACGCTTATTTTTGAAACAAAAAAACTTATAAAACTATATAATAACTATACGGTTATTGCAATAAAATTTTTTTAAAAATTTCGGAAATTTTTGACCCTGCTTATCATAAATTAAAAAAAAATTATTATTAAAGCACTTACAATTCAGCACATATGATCGTGCATATAACGGGATCATATAATATTTAATCATTTTTGTCCGTTTAAATTCACTTTTTATATATTTATATAGTCACTTTTTAAAGATCTAACTCGGTGGGAAATGAGCTAGCGACTTGCCAGCTTTATAGCGATTTTCAATAATTGAACTTTAAACATTGCGATTTTGTAGCAATGTGTCGCTAGCTACATATCGTAGCTTTGTAGCTAGCTACAAAATATCTACAAATCTGTAGCTGGTTGATAACTACATATTAAGATTTTTTAGACAGCGATTTTATTACGATATGACGCTAGCTACAATAGGTGGGTCTTTAGCTAATTAATTTAGCTGCCCTCGTAGCCAAATCGCTGTCTTTATCTTTACAAACATCGATAGCTTTTCGCCAACATTAAAAAGCTAGCGACCCTCGTGGCCAAATCGCTGTCTGTATCGTTGCGATTATAGCTAGCTATTCGCTAGCCGATTTCCCACCGGGAAAATTTTTCCTAACAATTTATTTCTACTCTGAGCATTTAACCTGGTTTTAAACTGGTTTTATGTATAAGATTTGTATTTGGGCGGATTTTACAACGCTTTTTTTTTTTTTTACTCAAAGATAAAATTTGAAAAGTTAAGTTAAATATTTCACTTTAACTCAGTTTACACTAATAAAAAGTTTTTTTAACTTTGTTATAGCGTACTTTTTGCATTCTTTTGAGACCATCCCCTTAATTTTGTTATTGCTGACCTCTAGAAATATTTCTTAATGCGCATGTTATTTCATATTTTTTCATTATCCGTTCAAAATTAAGTCGTACATTAACTTAAAAATAGCTTGCATAGGTTGTGCGATAAAAATCGCGCACTTAAGTCATGGATTTATTTTAAAAATTGCGTACATAGGTGTCGGGTTTTATTTAAAAACGCGAAAATAGGATTTATTTATAATCAAAAAACCATAATACATGTTTTATTCGGTATTTAAATTTAACTATGTTCTTGCCCAAGTCGGCTTAGATTTATTTATCTTTTGCTTGTAATATTTTTTTCCTCCACTCATTTTTTTTTTTTGAAGTTGAAGAAAGTTCTTTTTATTTTTGCGTCGAAATTCAGCATCATTGAGAAGCTCATCGACAATTGTTGCTTTTCGTTTTTTGTTAGGCACTCTTGAATTGTAGAATTCGTGAGCTCCTTCAACAATAGTTCCAATCTGAAAATATTTTGGTAATTTATTTGAATCATTGCGTTTGTAATGATGCTTGCCGTCTAATACACCTCTCATTTTTATTATTTGTAAATCTCTTTTGATCTCTTCTGTTACCTCTGTTTTTGGCAAATTATACCAACCTTTACCAGCCGTTTCTTCTGCAATTTTTTTTCGTTTCACCTGTTTCGAATGTTTAGATTCAAACATTTTAGGAGCACAAACTCTTTTTTCTAAATCACTTGTGAGAACACTCTTTTCCATAACCGCCTCAACTCCGTTTTTTTGTTTTTTTTCACTTGTCAAACCACTATAGAAGTTCGAACTTGAAACACCAATACTATATTGTATGGAGGATGTAAGACCTTTACTTAGAGTATCAGGAGCTGGATCTAATAACACTCTATCTAATCCACACACATCCATTTTCTCATGAGGTAAATGTGATTTTGTAGGATTATGCAGCAAATTCTTTAAAAACGAATTAACTTTAAAACCAGCAGCGTCTTTCGATAAATCGCTATTGTTATCAATATTTATTTGAACATAATTCAATGGATTCAAAGATACATATTTCTTTTGAGATTTTTTAGGACTGTCATTAAGTAGAGCTAACTCTGCACTCTGAGAACAATTTTCAGCAACAATTATTGGTTTTAAACATATGTCGTCTTGGATTTTTTTGTTTATTTTTAAACTAGTTTCGTTATTATTTTCAAAATTTTCACACGATTTATTTGAATTCAAACCATTTTTTGATTGACTATCATTAAGCTCAGAAATAGACAAAATAACGTTTTTTTCTTCCAACGCGTTTAATGTTTGTTCAAAATTTATTTTTTTATTGCTTAGGTTAGGTGATTGATTAAAACTACTCTGAAACTTTGATTCTAACTTTACCGAATCTTTGAGATTTTCCGATTGCAAACCTTCACTTTCTAAAATCTCCCTTTCTTTGCTTTTTGTTAATTTTTCTTTTGTAAATTCCAGAGGTTTTTCAATAACTAATGGTATTATATCGACTAAAATATCATTTTCGTTTAACTCCAGTTGATTAATGCTTTCAGTTGTTTTAACTTGAGTTGATACTATTGGAATAAAGGTCACAGGGCTGCTATTTAAACAGTCAGCTTTATATATTTCTTTTTCTGAGCTAGGATCGGTTTCAATAAAATTTAATGATTTTTGTTTCAGCTTTTCACTTTTTTTACTAGACTTTTTTATTTGAATCGTGGTTTTCTTTTTAGCTTTAGATTTCTTAGTAGAAATCGAATTTGATTTAAGCTCAGTGCTGTTCTCTTCATCAGATGAATTCTTCAAACATGATTGGACTTGATGTGACAATGTATCCTCAATCAAATCATTAAGAGAGGTCAACTTTTCATCTGCATCAGAAAGATTAGTCTGATCAGGTGGTGCATTAAATGCACTTTGACTTAAATCTAAAAAAAAATTACTGTAATTTGCAGTGACTGCAACTGTACTAAAGATGGTTTCCAGATTTATATATCAACTTTTAACTTTGAAGACCTAAAATATGTGTTAATTTCAAAATTATTTTATTAGAAATCTAAAATTTTAAACTAATTATTTTGTTTTCAAATACCTAATTTTGAATTAATAAAGAGATTAATAAAACGCCGAAAAGCCAGAAACAGTGGAGTATTTGTATAACAAAACCGCTCAAAAGTCGAAAAATTAAGTTAGCATAAAAATCTTATTGTTATTATTTTTAAGTTAGATAATTGCTTCATTTGATTACGTCATAGAAAATTATCCTTGCTTTTTCCTGTCACATTTTTATTCAGAACGTGGCATTGTTGTTTGAATTTTCGTGAGAAAAAAAAATCGAAAATTTGTGACATTTTTTTTTCTATTGTTATCATATTGTTCAGTTTTAAAAAATTAAACTTCTAATTATGGCAAATGAAGTCTTTGAGATACCCTCTCCTCATCCCGTAGTTAAAACCAGTGCTGCGACAATGATTTTAATCGTCATTTTCTTACTCATCATTTTAATCAATTGTGTTTATCTTGTTTAGTTTTATCCGAAGGTAAAGGTGCGTTTCCACTCATCCGTTTTTTCACGGGAACGGGATAGGGAAAGAAAAAATAATCACGTGAGCATGCGTAGTTTTTCTTTGGACATATTAAAACTTATACTACGCATGCCCACGTGATTATTTTTCCCATCCCTTTCCCGTTCCCGTGAAAAAACGGATGAGTGGAAACTCGCCTTTAAAAGTATTTCTTTGAATACACGAATTTACCGGTGGACGTAACAATATTACTTTAGTTAAGATAACTACATTACTTAAAAATGTAATAAACGCTTTTGTTGCAATTTGTAAATAATTATTGAAAATTATTTAAAGTATTTTACATTACAAGTATTAAAACATTTATTTACTATATTTTAGTAGTTATTAATGTTTTAATTAATTAGTAATTAAATGTTTAAATACTTAAAACACTTTTTAATCAATATTGCATAATTTATTTACATATATTGAATCGCGTAATATTTTAAAAATTAACAAAATAATTTTACGACTTGTATTCGAATAACTATTCAAATAAAATACATAAGCATTTAATAATCGTATTCAGGCTTGTGGAGCCGAGCCGTAGCTGGGAGTCGAAGCCTCAAAAATCGAGCAAGTATATATGAAAACATTCTTACAGTATTACATAAATTCCTTTATATTACATTGTTATATTGATATTTGATTTTATATTGATTTTTTTATATAGTCTTTAAACGTCTTTAGAACGTTTTGGACGTCTTTAGAACGTTCAAAAGACGTCTTTTTTAGGTACCGTGCATACTGGGTAGAATTAAAACTAACAATATTTACCCATAACAACTTTCTTTTTAAATGTAGTATTCGGTAGACGAGCAGTGATAGTAATAGAGCGTCAAACGAAAAGTTAAAATTCGGACTGTTGTACGATACGAGTTCAAATTCTTCTACCGCCAACTCAGCGCTTGAGTAGTATTTTGGTACGCAAATGTTGGTCAATAACGGGCGCTACTTTGGATTAGTTCTAATGACTATTTGTGGCTGTTCCTATGCTACGTTAACAATATCTTTGGATGTAAGAACATTGTATAAAAATATATAGCGTGAAGATTCAAATAAATAAATTGATAAAAAATAAAATAATACATTAATCTTGTAACCATGAAAGTTGGTTAAAAATGAATTGCTGTAATTGGTTTAGATTTAGGTTGGCAAATGTGATCAAAAACATATTCCAAAATTTGCGATTTTTGTTCATAAAGTATGGGAGCCCGAGCCGAGCCGTAAAAAAAACTTTCGGCTTCACAAGCCTGATCGTATTTACTTTAATTTTAAAATCTCAATTTAAATATTAGCAAATCTGTTCATTTAACTTTTACTAATGGTTAATAAATTTTAAAGTGATGTAACATTTTTTTCCCTGTGAGCCAATGGTGTACGACTCGCTCATTTTCTTGTAATTTAGCGAACGGGGAGATTCAGGGATGTCTAATACAGTCAAATTTATAAACAATATTTACGTTAAGACATTTTGACAGATTCTTAAAGAAAAATACTTTTTTTAAAGTTGTTTAACTTATTTTAAAAAATAATTCTTTAATAAAATATAGTAGTTATTTTTGTTTACTTAAAATTTAAATGGTTTATTTTGAAAACGATAAAATATATATGTTTAAAAATAGCTTTTTATGGCATTTTTAATGTTTGTATTTTTGTTAAATTTTGAATAATAAAAACAACATTCAATGTTATTTTTATTGTTCAAAATATAAAAAAATACAAACATTAAATGCCATAAAGTGCTATTTTTTACTTATATATTCCAAAAGTTTGTAATTTAATAAGTTAAAAAAAGCAACCAAAAATATGGTTTTAATATCAAAATTGGACTGTGACGGAGTGCAACAAGCAAAATTTAAGCAAAAATTTCATAACAATATTGAGAGTGATGCAAACATTTTTCAAAGTTCTTTAATACCTCTGAGAATGATTATTAAAATTGATGGTGAACAGGAAAAAATTATATGCCAAAAACTAGTCATCTCTTTTCCAAGGTTCTGCACAGTGCAAGGTGCACAGCCATTCAAATACATTTCATTAGTGAAAAAAATTAAAGTGTGTAACGCTGCAACTGGTACTACAACTACTGAGGTGCTAAACTTATGGAGAAACATCAAAAGATTTAAATTTATTTAAAAAGAGCATATCAATACAGAAGTCATCTCATTTGGACTCTTGATTATTCATGCAAAGACTCGCTTCTTCAAATCGCTTCTTCATTTAGCTTATAAAATACCTTTACAAAAGAGGCAAATCCAATCAGACAAGGAAAAAGTTGTCAAAAAAGCAAAGATGAAAATAAAAACATCCTTCAAAGAAGAATTAGGGCTTCAAGTAGATATACTTTAAGTAGGATTCAGAAAACCAATGATGGCATCTATAGATCATAGATGATTTTTTTCACACCCGGAATTATCTTTACAAATAACTGGTATTAACTTGGATTTGATAAAACACTTACACATTTTCTTAAAGTCATTTCAAATGGATATAAAATTGATGCTGTTAAATTTGATGCTTTTGCTTATAAAACTGCTAAAATGTTGTGCTAAAATTTATCTGTATAGTGATGTCTTATGCCTTCAACCATGCATAAAGTTTTGATACATGACACCAACTCATGCAACCCTCCCTATCAGCCAGTTATCTGAGGAGGCAGGTGAAGCCCAAAATAAACACTTTCAGCATTACAGACACAATTTTAGTAGACAGTTTTTTTGTATCTACTGCAATACAGGCATTAAATAGAGTTCAGACCAATACATAAGTAGTTCTAGATCAAAATGACACAAAAAAACATTACTTTTTTCAAAAGAAGCAGTTATTATGACAATATCAGTATGAAGACTTGACAAGTAATTGATTTTAATATCTTGTGTGATCTTGAAAATAAATTAGTCTTTAAAAATTCTTTATTTTTATTTTTTAAATTAAACAATTAATTTTAATAAAATACTCTTGTCCTTGATTAAAAAAAAAAAAAAAAAAAAAGGGGGGGGGGGATACATTTATTAATTTTTAAAAAATTTTCCCACCCACCCCAAGCTTATTAAGACCCCCTTGTTTATTAACTTTTACTTGTTATCAACAAAACTTTATACTCCAAAACTAAAAAAAAAATTAATTGAAAATCGTTAAAAATTGAGAAAATAATTCTTTCAGTCACTGATAAAAAAAACTTTCAGAGTAAACAGGCTTGAAAAATTGCCAACCTAGTAGATCTCGATTTGTCAAAAACGAGCTTTTGGTTTATTTCTTACCAAAGTATAAAACTTATATCAGAATATTAAAACCTATTAAAACTATGATAAAACAGTTGTTAGAAAATGCACATTTGACCACAAGTCACGCTAGAATTAACTAGTTTTATGTGTGTTTTGTAAAAAATATTAGTTTGGATTTATAAACTGAACTTTTTTATAAAAAATACTTATATTGCAACATAACCTCTTACCCCCCCCCCCCCACTGTTTATTAAATCTAGACTAAAATTCCCCCCTCAAGAGTGCTGTTTCAAACTAATAAATTGAAAAAAAAATCCATAAAATATTTTTGAGCGAGTTTGTCACACAAATACTCCACTGCGCATCGTTATAGAAATGATGACATAAGATATAATAAAAGAAAAATTTTAACAAACAACTAAAGCTTAATTTTTAAAAATGTTTTAAAGGTAATTGTGTTATAAAAGTTCTATAAAATTTTACTATTATGCTACATAACTGAAAAGTTTTAAAATTAAATTTTTAAGAATTATTAGATTAGTCTTTAAACTCTAATTTTGATTGTTAAATATAAACAAATTTATTAATAAACTTTCACTTATAGTTTCATTTCTATAAAAAATATAAAAATAGAATATAAATTAAAAAAAAAAAAATTAATTATAAACTAGTAAACAAAAAAGTTAAACACCTTATCATTTATATAAAATGAGAAATGGTGATAAAAAAAAAAAAAACATATAATAAAGCAAAATGTGTAAAAAAAAAACAATCATTTTATATGCCTTAATTATGTCAAAATGCTTTTTCAAGACTAAGCAGATGGATAAGATGGTGAAAAACAAAGAGATTATATCAATTATGTTCTGTTGATAGAATAGCTGATAAAAGCCATAAGAGGTGATAACAAGCACCAATAAGTTTCTTGGAGGTTTAAAAAACAGAATTTTTTTATAAGTACAAAATCATCTTAAGAAACAAGTAGTTTATCTAATAAAGAGGTTTTATTTTTTTAACATTTATATTTCAACCAAGTTTAAAGCTATATGCTACCTATTTTCCACAAAGAAGCTGAATCCAAAAATAAATAATTTTCAAAAAGATTACAACTTGTATATTTGCCTCCCTCTTGGCCTCTCTATGGCCCTGGGAGCTTCTAAAGCTGCTTATTTTTTGAATGTAAATAAAAATGAATACAAAGTAGGAAAACAACAAAAGTAAGATTTATTATAAATTAATAAGTTTTATATTTTTTTATTTAAAAACTGTAAGCAGAATATATATGTACCATGTAACTAAATCCTCAACACTGTATGTGTATGTGTATATATGTTAATCTCAAACACCTATTAACTTGTTTTTTCTTAAACAGTTTGGAACATAGGACACAAAGAAGGTTACAATAAAATTGCTACAAAATAGAACACATTAAAATACCATAAAGAAGACAATAAAATGAAATCAGCATCAAATAAAAAAATTATTTGATGTTTCACAGTTTTCCTTAAAAGTGATTGCCAGCTGATAGACTTTACTTAAATACTAAATAATATAGAAATCATTGTATTATAATTTTTTTATGAATGTTTCTTTTAGAGTGTACAATTGGGATATGAACTTTCAACTTTTTTTTAATTTTTAAATTTGATATCATTTTTGGATGTACTTTTACACCAATTTTTAAAAAAAAAGTTAATTTACAACTTTAAAAAAAAAAAGTCATGCACTAAGACACCCAGCGACATGTAAAATTTCGCAGAGATTTCATAAAGATTAATCTTTCTTTAATAAAATCCTCTTAAAGAACATGTCTTTAAAAAATGTCTTAAATTTTTGTTCCAAATTGTTAGTTTTTTTACAATAAATTTAAAACAACAACAATTTTTTAAAACTTTTTAAAAATTTTACTTCTTTTGAGACCCAACCTAAAATATATATTGGAAAAGATTTTTCTTGGTAATATCATGTTGGGTGTCTTGGCGCATTACTTTTTGAATATTGTATTGTGAGTTTTTTTTTTAACTAGATGTTTTTTTTTTCTAGATAACTCATCCAAAAATGATATTGGTATTAAAAATTTAAAACCATAGTACACAACATGACTTGTTTTTTGTTTATTTTAACTCAAAGTCTGTAATATAGTTAAAAATATCTTTAATGCTGAGGAGAAAGGACACAATCCAAACACCAAGGTTTAAGGAAAAGATCATTTGGAAATTTGGATCAAACTATTTTCAAATGGCATCTAACAAGGTATAAATTAGTATAACAGGCATGTATAAGATATAATAGACGTCTTTTCTTTTTCAGGTATTCAACCTAACCAGCAAATTAACATCAATACATTAAAATTTGGTGAATTTATTCTGTGTAAATATGATACATTTTAATGGATCGATTTGATAAAATTTTTGGAGAAAATAAGTGGGGAATGGCTCTTGTGCCCCAGGCCATAGACCCTTTGGTTGTCTGCCTTTTTAAACAAATTGTCTAACAATTTTAACAAAAGTTCATGAAGACTACACAAATACTAAAAGTTTCAGAGCTCTAGTTTGTCTGGAAGGTAGTGAATAATCACAAGAACCCGCTACATGCTCAAACTAATGGAACAAGGTGCAATTAGGTTACATTAAGCCCATTATAGAATATTGTATGGTAAAACAATAATAGACAAAAAAAAAAAAAAATCTCTTGGAGTTCTCTATTTTGAATGCAAAGGTGAAAAATAAAACTATTTATAACTGTTTTGCGAAAGCCACAATTTAAGAGATGTTTGCCAATCCTTTGCTAATTAAAAATGATCTTTTAAGGATCTTAAGATGTAAAAAGATAATTTATGATAAAGAAACTATAAATAAACTATAAAACTGTAATTGATTACAACTCCATTCTATTCATAATATTTATTACCTACTAGAAATAAAATATTTTGACAATAAATTTTTTTTATAGCAAAACAAATAAATGAGATTACATAAAAACTGGAGAATCACATGATAACATGACTCGCTTTAGCCTATGTAATATACCTTTCTTCGCAATTTGTTCACTTTGCAATTGGGAATTTCCATGACCAACTTCCACTTTACTTTTGATTCTTGTACTTCTTCTCATAGTTAACTTCTTTTCACTGAAATTTTAAAAAGAGCTGTATTGTACTATATTAGCTACTATATTATTACTATTATTATTGTTTAAATTAGCTATTTTATACTCTCCTAAGTTACATGTTAGACTAAAAACATTGGAACTAAAGGAGAAGAACATGGGCACTATTTACATTTCATATGTTTTACGGGACCCGGATAAGTGATCAAAACGTTTAATGGCCGAGAAATTTATTGTCGGTTTATAGTCTCAATTCCGTTCCGTAAATTATCTCAAAATTTTGAACTGAAGTGATAAATTTAAGATATTTAGAGTTAAAAATAATTTATATCAAAGATTTTATATCAATATGTCATATACTGCGTAATATCAATATGTCATATACTGCTTCTTAAATTTTTTCTCAAATCTTCTCAAGTTCTAGAAATTTTTACTTTTCTAAACAACTTTGAAATAATTTGCGGAACGGAGCTGAGAGTAAATAAATCTGTCGGGATTGAGCGGAAAATCATAATGACCTGTATTGCTATTTTATTATTACTATTTAAATGTTTAAATTAGCTATATTTCAATTATTCATTTCTTAGTTAAAATAAATAATTGAAGTTGTAAAATAATTCATTGGATAGATCACATAATATAAATAAAAATCGCAACGAAAAATAACAAGAATAAACAAGCGTGAGTTGTAACTTATTTTGAAAAAATCTTAAAAAACTCAAAGCATCAGTTGTTTCATCGTTTATTCGTGCTCAATTTTAAAGTTCTTTCGGACTCCACACTTGTTGGCCGTATAAATTAATAAGTTTTGTGTACCAATACTACTTTATTTCTGAAGTCAAAATTTTAATGTGAAACGTTTTTTTACATGAAATAAATGTTCTTAAAACGTTTAAACGTTATAATACGTTTTTAATGTTCTTTGCTTTATACTTAAGTTTAAGATCAACTTAATGCCTAAATATTCTCAACATTTATATGCATGTCCAAAAATAGTTATATCTAAAATAAGTAAGCCTAAAAATTAAAATCTTATTCATTATTACAATTCATATGCAGAATCTAGCAGAAATTTTTAAGACTTTTAAAATTAAACTGAAAAAAATTGTTTTCACAATTTATTCTGCCGGTTTCATTTTTGGCACGGTTTAATAAACGAACAGTTCGATTGTTTGTAAAGTTTTTTTTACGATCTTTTAATAATATAAAACAATTTGAAGATGTGCGAATGTTTTTTTTATTGAAAACGTCGTGATTCTGTAAGACGCTTTTACTATCTTTATTTATTTGATTCTTGATTTTTAGTATGTTGAGGTGATAGCGTTTCTTAATAAATGAGTATAATTTTCTTTAGGTATATAATATAAATTCGATATTTTATCGGCAAAATTATAAGTAAAATTACTTTTATTTATCAGATATAAACCCCTTTATACTTTATTTCGCGTTCTTTATACTTTATTTCGCATTCTTTATACTTTATTTCGCGTTCTTTATACTTTATTTCGCGTTCTTTATACTTTATTTCGCGTTCTTTATACTTTATTTCGCGTTCTTTATACTTTATTTCGCGTTCTTTATACTTTATTTCGCGTTCTTTATACTTTATTTCGCGTTCTTTATACTTTATTTCGCGTTCTTTATACTTTATTCATTATATTTTATCAATACGATGCTCTTGTAATTTTTCTTCGTTTATTTATTTGTACCTTTATCTTATATATTGTAATGGAGAACAAAAAAAATTATCTTGATTGTGCTTCATTTAAATGATTTGGGTAGGTTGAAGTAAAATGCTAATCAATTAAGCAGAGCCCGCCTTAAAACTAAAATCACTCGACTGATTTTTGTTTAATACCCAACTAAATTCGTCAAAATAACCGACTATTACTTGAAAATCACTTTCTTTGGAGAGGAAGGGAAGGGGGTAGGATTAAATATTTTTTGAAGAAATTCATTACTTTAACAATGATTTCTTTTTGTTTTTATGAGGGCTCTAAAGTCTACTTTTTGGACTATTTTATTTAGTTTAAAAACTAGACTTTATCACTAGTTATATGTACGCTGATTCTAACCATCCACATCAAATGATAAAGGGAATTTTATCAACTATCCAGTTAAGAGTGTCAATCACGTCTTCAAATGAACTTATTCATAAATTTTACTTTTATTATAAAAATACTTTTGAAAAACTTATATTTGTGTGCTCTAGCATGCCAACCAATTATAAATACTTATTAATACAATCTGGCATTGTAAAGTGTAATTATATTTTATGATTGCTAACGATCGATTTGCGTTAATTGTAAATAGTTGTATATAATATGAAGTCATAGTTGTAAATACCAAGAGAATATGATTGTATATAAACTATGTTGAATTGCATTAGAAAATATGAGGCGTTTAACGCTAAACTTATAAAGTATATGCGGTAGTGGTGTAGTGGTAGAGCGCTCGCTTCATAAACGAGTGGTTCCGAGTTCGATCCCCACCACGTCCCTGGTAGTACTGCGCTCAACTCGTTTCTCTGCGCAGCGGCCTTGTTCGTCAAGGTTCGTGTTTCGGAGTTATAGAGTTGAGAGAGGGTTATAGCCACAAAATAAGTAGCCTCCTCGTTTGTAGTGGCCTTCTCGGCCTTGAGGAGGTGAAGTAAAATAAAATAAAAAAAAAAGTCGATTTTGATGTGAAACTACAGGTATCATCATTAATTCAGTAGAAATGTTACGACAAAAACTAGAAAACCTCTTTACACTAGCCAACCAGCATTGCTAGTCAAAAATTATCAACCTCCCCAAAAATTAGACCATTAATAAGCTTTTTTTGAATGCATAACACTAAAGCGATCGTTAACTTAAAGAAAAATATTTTAACTTTAAAAATATAATACTTATTTTCCAATCAATAACCCTTCTCATCTAAAGTTATATTTCCCAATTAATTATCCTTGTTTTGTAAAGTAACATTTTCTAACCAAAAAATACTGTTATTTCTTATCATTGTTCGATTTATGTTCGATTAATCGAACAATGATAAGCAAAAAGACAAAATTTTTTAAATTTGCTTACGCATTGTGCAATGACCCACAATAAATGTGTAATCTTAACACAAAATAAATGGTACAATAAAAATATCTTTTTTAAAATACAAAACGTTTTAAACAATGTTATTACAAAAAAGCAAGAGTTAAATTTCTTCGATGTTCTTAAGGTATTCAATTTATTCAATGTTACCAAAGGGTTAAATTTCTTCGTGGTTGTTAAAATGAGAACTATCAATCTCTTGAGTGTAGTTAGCAAGTAACTCGCGTAGTTCTTTTAAATAATAATCTGACGGTAAGGGTAAATCAACAACATAAGACGCAACTTTTAAAGAAGACCACTTTGGATTTTCGTCATCGATATCATTTTCACTCGAATTCTAAAACGCAAGTCAGTATACAAAAATCATTAACTGTGCATCTTATGCCGAAATTTATTTAGCATAAATCTCCTTTACCGCGCATTTACTTTCCCTCTTAAACTACATTAAAAAATGATTCAAATAACAAAAATCATTTAGACAAACATAATGATAAAAAATTGAATACCATTAAATTGAAAACTATCTTTAGCATATTAGAGCACGTACGGGCCATTTCTGATTGACATAGCCTAAAAGGTTTAACAAAATAAATTTAATGTCAAGATATAAAAAAATTAGGTCATAACAAAAAAAAAAAAAAAAAATCAAAATACTACCTTTCTCTTGAATTTTCAACTTTCATCATATTAATCCGATTTATCAAAGACACTATTTCATTCTCCATGTCTTCCAAATGGTACATTGTGAAATTTGTATCTTTCTGATTATTTAAATAAAGTTAATTTTAATAAAAAGTATATAACAAAAAATAAACAAATAAAAAGACTGGCACTTGGAAATCTACAAATAAATTTTTAACCTCAGAAATGAATGTGGCATTATAGACTAAAAACAAATCATAAAGAACTTAAAGAATTTTAAAGTTATTTCTGAAAACTATATCCTTTGGTAAATCTTGGAGCAATCGTCCCAGGCATCTGGGTTACGATAGTGCCTTTTAAATATTTCAAATTAGATAAACACTAAAATACTGCATATGAGATTTACTTTGCCAGGTAAACAAAAAAATTAATTTCTAAAGATTTTTTTTGCTAGGATAAAAGTGGAATTAAAAAACAACATTAAATCATTAAATATATATTCATACATTTTTTACATTTATATATAAGATATATAAATATAAAAAATATTTTTATACATTAAATGTTAGAAAGAAAAAAAATTATTTTTTAATAACTGACTTAATACTAAAAAAAATTAGCATAAAGAATATATTACAGAAATATAGATATTATTTATCATATATTTTATTTATTTTTTTGTTAACATTGTTATACTTAACTAAAACCTTTCATTTTGATGGTAACAACTTTATGCTGTAGTAGATTAATGGTAGCTCACAATCAAGAAGTTGTCACTGAAAAGTACTGCTCAACCTGGTTCTCCATGCAGCAACCTTGTTTAACAAGGTTGTCTCCATGCAACAAGGCTTAGTGTTTTAGAAAGAGTTGTAAATAAAATAAAAATTCTCCTCGACTGTAGACTGCAGTAAAGTTACTTTAGCAGTCGTAGATAGACTTTCCAAATTTGGAGAACTTTATTATACTTTTATTTTGATTTAGGAAGAACTCATAAGGCTTTAATAAAAACTTTATTTATTAACTATTTTTTACATTTCAGTAAATAATACTGTAATACTGTAAACTTTTCCAAATGTAATTTTAAATTTCATTTTAAAATTATATATTTTTATTGTATTCACCCCTAGACTGAGGGATGATGACTGCTAGAGTCAATGATACTGTTCCCTTTGTTTTTTGAATTGTTATAACTCTGGACCCTATAGCTCTAAAATACTTGAAATAAGACAACTACACAAAGAACATAGTAAGAACTTCACAAACAAGGCGACTGCAGTAAGAACTTGGATAAAAAGGCCTTATCTAAAAACTTTAAAATGTGTCCTTTAAAATCCTTTATGGCAAGAACCAGAACCAAATATAATACTGCCCTACACAGTATATACTGCCTATTACATAGTCCACATAACCAATTACTTAGTACAAACTATTACCATTTAACAAGACATTAAACATTACCTCATTCCGAAGACATTAAACATTACCTCATTCCGAAGACATTAAACATTACCTCATTCCGAGGAAACATTGTTATAACAAGTTATATATTTTATTTCATTATTAGACAAAAGTAACGTACCATATGTATCTGGTTTAACTTTTCTTTCAACAAAATATAGTCAAGAAAGACCTAAAAACAACACAAATAAAATAATATTATATTTTTATATTATTTATGTAAATAATGACATAATGCCTTGATACCAAGTAAAGTTTATGATAAACTAAAAGAATTTAATAACAGATTACTTGTCCACCAAGTTTCCAGTTTTTTATCGTACAACAGCGTTCAGGTAAACACAAATCTTTCAAAATGTTCTTCAAGTTTTCATAATCCTCTTAACAAATTTATCAGTATTTTTAATTGTTCAATTGTTATAAAAATAAAAGAGTACTATTAAAATTGTATACCTTCAATAATTGCATCCGCTGCCAAATTATCTATGGCAGCAACATGAGCTAATCCCCAATGCCCTGCTCTGATTAAATGAATAGTTTCTTCATATCTTCTGCCAATGTATTTTGCATGTAGTGCCTGATCAATAAAATCAATAAATTCCAACAAAAACAAACTCAACATAAAAAATGACTATAAACAAACAGAAAAACGACGGACCAACAGTTCAAATATTTAACCTTAGCTTCATGCATCCAATGTTCAGGTATTTGAAAATCTTTAATGATCATCTGCTCTTGTTCTGTGAACTGCATATCACCCTCCTTCTCATTTATTAAACAGTATCTTGAAAGAATGCGTTTTACAGAGCTCTCTCGTCTAAAAATTAAACAAATCAAAACAAAAAAAGACATTTTAGAATATTTGCCAAAAATTTTTTTTTTGAAAAAAAAAAATATCTGCAAAATCTTTACGTTTCATTGTCTCTTAAATGCATGAGAACAAAAACTGCCCATTGCCATAAACCAATACTTTCAAGTTGTGCAGCATAACTATATTGCAATAGAGCATGGCGATCATCATTTAAGTGAGTGTAACCAAGATTTTCTAAAACTCTTTGAAGGTGCCAACTATAAAAAAAAAATCATTAAAATAACTTTATTTGAAATTGAAAAAAAAAAAAAAAAAGAGACTTAAAATTACCTGAGATGATAGTCGACCATATTATTGACGTGGGTATTGGGTGTTAAAAGTTTTTCAAGTAAATGTTCTCGTTTACAATAAAGATTTAGAATATGATAGCAAATATCCTTTGAGGTACCTTCTTCATCACTTTTTTGGTACGTAGGATAAGGGTAAGATGAATAAGATCCATATGTTTCAGTCCCCTTAAAATAAAAATCCACTTTTATTAATTGAAGTGAAATGAAATTACTAAAAATTAGTAAACCAATGTAAATTAACAGAAACTTCAAAGGTTAAAATAACTCATTAAAAATAAAATATGAAAACAAGTTTGAAAAAACTGATTTAAAAAAAAAAAGAAAACACACCTTAAATGAATATTGGTATTCTTTAAAAGCATCATTGATTGTGGCTGTGGCTGAACAATGGTACCTATAATATTACATGTAGATTATCTTCATGCATTGCATTACCTGTACTGCATTTATACACAAAATATAGATCTATATCATATACACACAGGGTTAGTAAAAACCTGACCCAGTAGGGTTTTTTGGGGTAAATTTGGGTTTTATTTTTATTTCATATTTAAAAAATTTTTTTTTTTGTTTAATGGCACTGAAAATTAGTATAACTTTCAATTCCATTGAAAATTATACTAATTTTTAATAATTTATAACAACAATTTTTCAAATTACAAAAAAGATTTTTAAACAATTTAAAACTGTTATTATATATATATATATATATATATATTTATATATATATATATATATATATATATATATATATATATATATATATATATATATATATATATATATATATATATATAATTTAAACCTATCTGTATTTACTTTTGTAATATTTTTTATAATTAAAAATATCAATGAGAAATGGGAAAAAGAAGGCTGGAGAATGGGAAAAAAAAATTTCAATTTCAAATGAACAAACTTGTTTCTCTACGCAGTGGCCTTGTTCATAAAGTTCCACGTTTCAGAGTTAAGAGTTAAAAGAGGGTTGTAACCACAATAATGTAGCCTCCTTGAATGTAATGGGTTTCTCAGCCTTGGAATGAATAACAAAAAAGATAAAAAAAGTGACTTAATTTGTAAAAATATTTGAAACAAAATTGTGATAATATATTCCCAAATAATGATTCAAATATTAATAAATCTACTTTGATAGCTGGACCATCATCTCAAGTTGGAACAAGTTCTTTGGCATCTGTTATTTTTAAAAGTTTGCCAAAACCTGTTAGTTTTAAAAGTTTGCAAAAAGAAGCAGCAGCTGTCATCATACACAATATCAATTTAATATCATAAAAAATCAAACAATATTAAGAAAAGCTAACAGTCTTCGAATCTAATTCAAAAAATTTGGTTTTATTTTAGATCAAGTATTTAACTTTTTTTAAAATAACGTTTTCATTACAAAATACATCTATAGACCTAAACAAAAAGTAATAACTAAAAATAGGATCAAATAATAATAAAAATAATTTTTTTAATTGGTAAAAACCTAATGATTAAAAATAAAGACAATCCAGAAAATGGCTTTACAATCATTATCTTGATTTTGTACCTTGGTTGATTTTGTTAAAATTAAATGACTATGTTTTTTTTTTTACTAAGATGTTAGCTGATCAAATTATATCAACAATATTGTGCAGTGATTGGTGGTCTATAAATAACCCAAAAAACAAGAAATCAGTTCAGAAAAAAATGCCTGTAGGATTTTGCAAATTTATTTCCAAACAATTGAAAGAATATTTTCCTAGTTTGGTTTTATCTAGTCAAAAGTTAGAAATAAAATATGCGAGAAGTTTTTAAGTGAAAAGGCAAAAAAGCTTGTACAAATATAGGCAGTATCAAAAATAAATAGTTGGTTTAAATTTTATAATTTTTATCATATTGTATTTATTTTAAAAATCTTATTAAATGAATCTTTTAATATATTTGGTTTCCGAAAATATCATTGTGAAAAAAACTCTTTATTTAAAAATATAGTGTTTGAATTGAAACCTTTTCCATTATAGCTAGCTACTATAATATGTTTATGTTTTTAGAAATGTTGGTTACAATACTTCATAAAATTATAAAATATCTTTAATAAAAAACCAATAAAACCTAGATTGCCCGGGTTTTATTAGGTTTTTTAGGCAAGTTTTATTGGGTTCTATTGACAGGTTTCTTTTGGGCGGGTTTTTTAATGCCAACCCTGTATACACACAATACAGGTGTATATATATATATATATATATATATATATATATATATATATATATATATATAATACAGACACAACATAAATAAAAATTCAACATTTCCTTCTTTAGTTTTAACTTTAAAATCAATAACATTACTTGTTACGAACAGCCTAATTTTTTATCAATTTTTTTTTGTTTTAAAAGTTTACTAATTTTATAAGATATTTAAAATCATTTTATAAGATATTTAAAACTATTAACACTATTATTTTCAGCATTACAAATTATTTAAAAACTTAAATTTGAATATGTACTTAACTTACTACTAAACAAATAAATGCATAAATAAAAGTAAATTAAAAATAAACATGTACATAACTTAATTTATTATTAAATAAATACTTAAAATCAACAAAATAAAGAAAGTGTTATCAAAACATGGTTTAATACATTATTCGTGTAACATTTCAAACTTAAATAAGAAAATATAATTTATTTTTTTTATCAATAAAATTTATTAATACTTTAGGTAATTGTTAAGTTAATTACTTAAATAAAAAATTTAACTTAAATAAAAGTTGTAAATTTAGGTCTACTGGCTAAACCAAAAAATTTCAACCAAAACCTAAAAAAATATATATTCAAAATAACAGCTGTGCAAAAAAGGAAAAAAACACAGGGGAGAAATGAGGTTTGACTTCAAAATGACAAGGAGTGAAAGTTTCCATGCATTCCTGAATCCTTCATAAAGATATATACATACAAATACATGAATAGAGAGGCCAAAATAAGTGCCAGATATTGGCACCCCCAAATTGTTTTTGAGACCTGTTTGAGGGGAAAAACCAACCATTGTTCATTTTTACTGTAAAAATGAAAAATGATTTGTTGTCTTCGCCTAGCAGGTCTCAAGAATGGTCCAAGGAGCAGCATGTCCACACCTATTTCAACCCTGCATGAATATATTGTTATCTTTGTGTATTTAGATTTGCACTGTCTTAATATATTTTTGCACACTTAAAGTTTAAAAATAATGACTAAAATCTGCACAGCTTTTTAAAAAAAGAAGAAAAAATAAAGAATAATACTAAACAAAGTTTTTTTGCTATAATAAAAGTTACGCTGTTGCTCGCGCAACGGTACCGTTGCTTCAATTTTTTTCTTAAAGTCACAGTAGTGATCTCTGATTGGTTGATTTTTTTTTTAATATAAAGAATGCATGCCCAAACCAAAACCCTTAATTGATGTATGTACACTCACTGCGCCTATCCCTAAATCAGTGGATGTATGCACACTCACTACGCCTATCCCTAAATCAGTCAATGTATGTACACTCACTGCGCCTATCCCTATATCAGTCGATGTTTATAAATAATAAACATAAATGTAACTTTCAATATACAACAATAATAACTTTCAATAAAAAAATTGTTAAAAAACATTTAAAAACATTTTCCAGAATGTAAGACTCGATCCCAGAACTCTGTGAGTATTAAACAATTGAGATACCACAATGCTAAACGCACAAATTATAGTTGTAATTCTTTTTAAATTTGTAAAAATAAAACTTTCAAAGTCAACCAATCATATTCGCAGCTGTAACTTAAAAAAAACCAATCAAACTTTACTACCGTGACTTTAAGATTAAAAAATAAAGCAACGGTACCGTTGCGCTAGACACAACGTAAAAGTTAACCAAGATAATACAAACTTAACACAAACTCTCAATCAATGACTGCAGCTATTTAAGTATGACATCATCAATGACTGCAGCTTTTTAAGTATGACATCATCAATGACTGCAGCTATTTAAGTATGACATCATCAATGACTTTTACAATAATGACTTCATGTGTTAAAATTTTATTTTTTTAGACTATAGATGTATATAAGCCAAAATAATTAGATAAAAAATGCTAATTAGATGCAAATATTTATCTTTCTATTTATAGTAAATAAGTAAATCATTTGAATCTTAACTTAAATGTATATGCATAATAATAAAATTTAATCTAATTTAAGTTAACTTAAATATATATGCATGATAATATAATTTAATCTAATTTAAATATACATGCATGATAATATAATTTAATCTAATTTAATTTAATTATATTGTTTAATTGCTTAAAATAAAGTTTTAATTTGTGTTAATATGTATGAAAGATCTGCCAAATCAAAAATAGGATCAGACTCTACTGTAAATTGTTTGAGAAAAAAGTTATAGAAGATAAAGAAAATCTGTCTATAAACAAGTAAATAAATTTGAATAGAAATAATAATGACTTAATTCTGAATGAGCAAGACCAACCCTTGTGAAGCAAAAGCATTGCTCATGCTTTTACTTCACAAACAAATATAAGTTTTGAACTACTCAGAAGATTGTTGAAATTCAACTTAACAAGTTTCCATGATCAAAAGCTTATAACAAAGTCTGGCATACTAGTTTTCTCTTTTCATACGATGTATTTGGAAATGTTATTAAATCTATTGAATCATTCTAATTACAGTATTAAAATTGCCCTTGATAGAAAGCAATCTCTTTTATTTCAAGTAATCTCTGGAATACCTCAAGGTTCCATCCTTAGTTTCTACTTAAAGTATCTTCTCCATCTTGATTTCATTTGCTAACTATATAAATCTCTTATCCATTCTTGTATAAAATACAATAAAGTTTTTTTTTTCATTAAGTGATAAAATAATCTTGCAGAAAAAACAAAACAACAAAACAAAAAGACTTATTGTGTGGATATAATATTGTGTGATAACATAAGGTACAACCAATAGCTTTGCTTGTTTATGATTTGGAATTATAATGATAAAAAAGAGGGTTGCAACAACAATTTAAAAAAAAAAAAAAAAAAAAAAAAAGAAAAGAAAAGCTTTAACTAGATAAAAAACACATAATAATTGAGGGTTGTAAATATTCTAAATGTAATTATTTATTGGCATCATTAATTTGATTTCAGGCATCATTAATCTCTATTAGCATTGCTAATAGAGATTAATGCTTGTAATACTTTAACTGCTTGTAACCTGGTAATACTTTAAATTTAAGCTTCCTTAACTCAAGCCCACTCAAGCTTAACTAGTTAAATACAATTAAGTTGAATACAGTAATAAAATTAAAAAAAAATTACCATAAATGCAAAGCAAGACTTCTCTTCCAATTTAGTTTATCACATAAATTGATCATGTTTTTTTTCGATTTCCAAACCATCATACCAGACATCAACACATACAACTTTAAACGATTTACATTCATGAACAAATCGATCTATAATATATATATATATATATATATATATATATATATTATATATATATATATATATATATATATATGACTAGGTCAGCCCTAAGTCGACAAACTATGTCTCTATAACCTTCATCAAGTCGACACTTTTCATAAGTCGACAGATTTCCTGTCGACTTTACGTTTGAATGAATTTTAGTAATGGTTAGTTCAATGGAAATTTAAAAAAAAAATACCATTGTAATGTCTAAATTATACTCAAGAGATTTCTATGAAAAAAAAAAAAAAAAAACGTGGAAAACTATAAACAATAACTTTTTTTAAAAGATATATTTATTATAATTTTTGTTTAAAATATAGATAAACTATTTAGTTAAATTAATATATGATCAGTTTAAAAAAAAAAATTAACATTTAGACATTATATAATACGTTATTTTTCAAGTATAAGTAGACTTATTCTACTCGTAAATCTTGCGTCAAGTCAACAATAATAAATATATAGACTTGTATTTTAATATTTCTATGTTTTTATAAATTTTTTTAATACAAATATATGTTAAAATGACAAACAAACTTTAAAATATGCGTATAAAATTTATTTTATACTATTTCTACGACGTCAAGTTGAAATATATGTGCATGCGTTAAAATTCTAGTCGACAAATTTTTTATTTCTTTTTAAAAAAGCGCTTAATGATCACTTAAATTTTTTTTATATACAAATACTTAATCTACGCAACATCTGTTAGTGAAAAATGAATTAAAAAAGAAAATTTTTTATGTCGACTTATGGTGTAAAAAATAATCGCTGTCGACTTTGAGGAGACCCAGGCTTATATATATATATATATATATATATATATATATATATATATATATATATATATATATATATATATATATATATATATATATATATATATTGATTGGTTTGATTTTTGTTTCTCTTTTTTGTTCGATTTTAACCATATGAATGGTTCACTTAGCCATACTAAATATCAGAATGATATTAATAATTGATATTAAAACTAGGTATCAAAATTTGATATTTCAGCTAAAATACTGAACTTATTTAAATGTAATTGAACAAATTGAAAATCAAAACTCTTCCTCTTAATTGATCATTATTTTTTATTTAATATAAAAAATATGATCCATCAGGAGTCTTTTTTTAAAATTAAAAATAAGATCTTTCAGGCAAAACATTTTTTTTTTATGTGTGCATGTGTGTATATATGTATATACTTAATAGGTTTAAAACATAGTTTAGTACATTAGACTCTTCCCACTGAGTCAACTGACTTCGTAGGTAATGTTTTAAATGATGGTCACCAGCTGATTGTGAAAGTAATGATGCGAGTCGAAATTCTTTATTATCTTTTGCAACTTGACATGCAGAACACAATTTATTTCCAGAAAGAAAACTGAAAATTACAGAGAGATGTCCATCATCCTTAAAAAAAAATGGTTCCAAAATTAATAATAAAATAGAGCATAGAAAAATGTCCTATCAAACTCAATCCTACAACTTCCACCATTTTTATTTACCTTAACTTTATTAGTCAATACTTCTTCATTAACCTCTTCTTCTAAAACAATTTCAAGCCATTTTGAAAGTGCAGTACGTCGTAAAGATTGATTTTCATATTTAGAATTTTCTTCAACTAAAACAATACAAATATAAATAACTAATTAAAACAAAAATACTGGTAAGTGGTATTAAGTTGTAACACCACTAACACCACTACCAGTAACAAAACAAAAAATTTTTGAAGTAGTAATATAAGATAAAAAAAAGAATGATGGAAGAAATGAAAAAATAATACAAGATAAAAAAAAGAATGATGGAAGAAATGAAAAAATAATATAAGATAAAAAAAAGAATGATGGAAGAAATGAAAAAAAGAATGATGAAAGAAATGAAAAAAAGAATGATGGAAGAAATGAAAAAATAATATAAGATAAAAAAAAGAATGATGGAAGAAATGAAAAAAAGAATGATGAAAGAAATGAAAAAAAGAATGATGGAAGAAATGAAAAAAAGAATGACGGAAGAAATGAAAAATAATAACTAGTAGGTATTTTAGGAATAAACTTTTAAAAATCTTTGTGAAGAGTTTTTTTTTTAAATTTAATTAGTTAAAAGATCGATAGACTAAGATAATAACTGATAAAAAAAAAGGAAAACTTTTTGAACCAAAAAAGAAACAGATAAAAGCAAGATTGTTTGTAAGGTTTTTATAACTATTTCCTTAATAAAAAAGAATTCTAAACTTTCTATAAGAACTCTGCTTCTCTAAGTTCAAATTATCAAGACTTGATAAGTTCACTGGAATCAGAAATAAGAAATTTGTAAGCACAATAAAGAGAGGCAATCTTAGCAGATGCTAATTTTAAAATGAATTAGGTGTATGGTTTTTGTGAGAGGTTAATAGTGCAAGTTGAGCAAAAAAAAAAAAAACATTAGGAAGGTTTTCATTCATGTTTAGTTGAAAACAACTTTTTTGACTTCACTAGCCACAGAAAATACTTTTGTTTGGGTTAAACAAGCCACTCACTAGCCACTGGAAACAAGCTATCACAGATTTAACATCACCTTTAAGATAGGCTGCTTGTTCTAATCAATCAAAAAATGATTAATTTTTATAAAGTCAGAACTATATGGTTGTATAATTAACAAATAGAGCCACTCCACTATACTCCAGATGTATGATTGCTAGTAAGATCACTAATAAACAATATAATACAATACAAAAAATAAAAAAAATAATCCATAGATGCAATCTTGTGGTACCCCACCATTTATTGAAAACAAATAAGAGTTACTTTCATCAAAGAAATCCATCAAATAGATCATAAAAGTGAACTTTACTCAGCTTAATAGACTTTAAGGTATAATTTTTCACAATATTGATTAAATTTAAGATTAATATAAGATTAAATTTCCCAAAAATGTCAAAACACAGAAACAGATTGTCATAATACTGTATCAAAAATGTTATAACAAAGAAATGTAAAAAAAAAAAAAAAAAAAAAAAAAAAAAAAAAAAAAAAATATATATATATATACATATATGTATATATATATATATATATATATATATATATATATATCTATATATATATATATATATATATATATATATATATATATATATATATATATATATATATATATATATATATATATATATATATATATATATATATAAAATATGTTCATTAACTTTAAAGAAATATATTATATTCATCAACTTTACAGAAATATATGTTCATTAGATATATAGAAATATATTATGTTCATTAACTTTACAGAAATAAATTATGTTTATTTATTTTACAGAAATGTATTAAATTAATTTTACAGAAATTATATTCATCAACTTTAAACAACTACCATTGTTTGGAGAACTAATTGTTATAAATTGATCCAACTAATAATCTTCGAAATATTTATCATGTTTTCTGTTTTTCTTTTTTTCTTTTATTATTGTTACAACATTAAATAACAATTCAAAATAAATGTTATATGATTTTAAAAAACAAAACTTTAAATCTAGATTTTTTTATGCATTTATTATATAATAACAATTATAATAGGTTATTTAAAAGCTTACCTGGATCTAGTTTACCCCAAAGAGCATCAACCAATTGCCATACCTCAGAGTGAACAGTAAAAAACCTTTTTTCAAATTTTGCTAATAAAAAAAATACAAATAAAGATCCAAAATAACAATTCAAAACACTAGCACTAAAAAAAAAAATACATATAAATACAAATACAAACAAATACTCAACTATTGCAAATTAAGTATGAACTACTTACAAGTAGCTTGTTTAAACTGTAAAGACTTTTCAGTATAACTTTTAATAGCATTATAAAGAGAAGATAATTTTGGCTTTTTTAGAGAGCTACTTGAGTCAAAGGTAAATTCAGTGTTTTTTAATGCTATATTCATACAATCCTTAAAAAAAAAAATCATTACATTTTACAAGTATAAAAAAAATATATATATTGAATACAAATTTATTTGGGCTACATATTGCAATTAAAAACTTACTGCAATAAATTGTGTACTTCCCTGATGAACATCAGAATTTAAACGTTCAACATTAACAAACATATTGGAAAGACCAAATGGAGACTGAGTACAAGACTGAGTGAAGTTTCCTGAATATAACCCTTGTTTTAAAGTTTCTGCTTTAGGTATTCCAACACAGTCTCCCATGTGAACAAAACTTAACCCATTATTCCATCGCACATGAAATTCTCTTCCATGTGTTAAACTAGCATCAGCCAAAAGCCGTGTTTTTCTGTATAACAAGGACTTTTCGTACGGTACTAAGCCATATGAACGACATTTAATAAAAATATTTGGATTTTCCGTATTATCAACTTGAACTATCTCTTTATCAGATGCTAAAAAAAAACAACAACCTGATTATCTCTTTTCTACTTTTTTTTTAATAAAAAAATCATACAAAATTTTAGAACAAAGAGCTTACAAGCATAAATTTGCTGCTTTAAACTGTTTTTAAATAAATTGACTTTTTTAGCTTTAGGTTCACTCTGAACTGTATTGTCTAAAGTTAAGTTAAGAAACACAGAATTATTTAATGAGTCAGGTGGATTCTTTGTTTTCGAAATATCAAGTTTCTGAAAAACAGAAGATGAACGTCTCGACTCATTAAATATAGATGTATTTGAAAAGAGATGACTTTCTTTTCTTGCAGGTTTTTGCTTAACATCAACCATATCCTCATCGTCACAAAGGATAGATGTTTTCATTCCTTGCAAAGTGAATGGCTTAACTTGAGAAACACGACCAAGTTGATGAGAAAATGGAAGATAATCTTGTTCCATTTGTGTTTCATAGTTCAACTCTATAAAAATTAAATACATTCTATAAAAAGCAAAAAAACAAACTTACTTTTTTTTGGTATTTAAAACAGAAACTTCAAATAATTTGAAAAACTTGAAATTTAATAACATCAATAAAATTCAATAGAACTTATTTTTAAATAGAACTTAATAACAAAATTCCACTTTAATTACCATTTTGAGAACTCATACTAGATTGCACTGGATTGTTATCTTCTTTATCATCCATTTCAGTGTCAGAAGTTTCTTTGCTTATTGTTAATTCTAGTCCAGGATTAAAGCTTTTAATAGGAAAACGATCTTTTGCTTCCTCCTTTACAAGTGATATTATCTCTTCCTAATAAAAATGTGCATCATAATTAGAGCAACCAGAATATCTTAACTAAAAATTTTGCTAAAAATTTTAGCACCATCCTTATTTTGAGAAGTCAAGTAAAGTAGGGGAATTCAAAGAAATATATATTATATATCATATGCATACTTAATAAATATATATATATATATTATATATATATATATATATATATATATATATATATATATATATATATATATATATATATATATATATATGCATGCTTAATAAATGGTAAATTCAAGGGCACCCATGGCACCTCTAGACTTTTTTAAGCAACCATTTATTTATATATATTTATTGTTATTGCATTACAAAACTACAATAATTGTTAACCATAGATATTGTTATTGTTTCTAAAAAAAATTAATACAATAACAATAGTTATTGTTTCTGTTATCATTTTCATTACAATTACAATAGTCTAAAACCTAGTCACAAGTTTTGAATATTTTTAAATAACCATAAAACAATACTCTAAAGAAATACATAAGAAATACATGTTTTTAAATACATTGTTTTTGGTTAGATCTCTCATAATTTTTTTTTGTATATTTATAAAGTACAAGCTTATGTCAATTATAAAGAAAATATTATTAGTATAATAAAATCTCATAACAAATAAGTTATGACTGCTAGTTGACATTTTGCAGTAATATGAAAAATACAGACATCATTTTAAAAAACTTTCAACTTAATAATCCTACCTCAATATATGTATTATAACTTTTAATTCTTTTATTATTATTATTATTATTTTCTATTGTATAATTTGAAGGGTGGGGGTGGAGGGTGACTTTTTGCCTAGATATGCTGGTTGATGTCATCAGCAGATTACTTTAGAAGTTATGTTTAAAGACAAAATTTTGACATAAAGTGAATTATAAATGGCTTGTTGTTGCGAAGCAGCGCATTAATCTGATGAGTTATTATAGCAGTGTCTGCAAATCTAGAAAATATTAAACAAAATAAATGGAGGTAAAATGTTTGCACTGTTAGAACCATCTAGAATTAATTAGTGATATGGTGATCCCTTCAGGAATGTATTGTAATAACGAATAGTTGCAATACATCCAATAAATATTCCTCAGGAGTGTATTGCAATAACTGACATTTTAGGGCTGAAAAAAAAAAAAAAAAAAAAAAAGACCTGCACTAAAGTCACTTGTCAGAGACCTACCAGCAGATCTGTGTAATATACACACACAATGATTATAATCATATTCTATTGATTATAATCATAATCATAATCAATGATTATAATCATAATCTATAATCTATTTATAATTATAAATAGAAAAAGAAAACTTATTGCAACAAGTTCATAAAAACTTTAAGAAAGCTTGAAAATGAACAACATGGAACCATAAAAACTTAAAGAAACATTACATTATTTACCATGATTGTTCCGTAAACACCATAATGGTTTCACAAAAATAAAAATATTAATGAGATCACGCAAATTCATTATCAATCATTAAATAACTAACATCATTAAATAACAAATGAAATTTCATGAAAAAATATGATTGAACAGTGTAAATAAATTTATTTTATATAAATAAAAATCTTTTTTAACTACAATTATATTGAATATCAATATAACCAATAACAAAGAATCTATAAAGTTAATATACCTGCGTGCCAAACTTTTCAAAATGAATACTTTCATCAATAATATAAGAAAGTTCTTTTTCTTTCTTCAAATTAAGTAAGGATTTTTTTGAGTGCTCTATTTCTGCATCTTCACCAATAAATTGCTCGTGCAAGCCATACCGTGTAAAGTGGTTAACCTAAAATTTAAACATATTGAAGCATTGTGGTTTATTTTAGAAAAACTTATTTAAAAATTTGTTTTATAAAACTTAATAATTTCAAAATATGATTTTTTATTTATACGATTAAAAACTTTTTAATTATGTTATTGAAAATAACAATTGTCAATTGAAAATAAAAATTAAACTATTATTCATTACTAAACAAATTTGACTAAAATTACCATTTTTTTATGTCAGCATTTAAAAAAAAAACTTACTCTAAACACCCATGCACCTTCCTTTGGCTTGTAATCAAGAAACACAGCATCCATGGCAAGTGTTTTTTCTTCAATACGATCAATAAAACCACTTGCTTTTAATCTTTCTGGAGTCTATTGAAAAATACACATAGTGTATATAAATATTTTACACATGTTTAGGGTCTCACTAATACTTTAATTATTTGTCTAACAAAAGTGTTCTCTTTATTGCTCTCTATTTAAAAAAACGCATGGTAACAAGATTACATTAACATGAGGCTGTTACATCTTTAATTGTTTATTTAAAGCTAATCGTATCTATAGATTAAATAGATTCTGGCTTGAACTAATCATAGATTTTGTCATCACATCTTTGTAAGTACATTTCCATTGTAAAATATTCTTAACCTAGCAATGGTCAAGAGTATTTTATAACAATGGTGAGTGCATAAACAAACAAGTAAGTTCCTGAGGTATCAACAGTTATACATCAATTTAGATTTTTTTTAACTATAAAACTTAGAAAACCCAATAACCTTTTAAGTTATTGGATTTTCAGTTCTTGACAAGGAGCTAACAATAAACAAAATTTATGCATTGTTTAATGACCTAAATATTTAACAACAATTTTAAAATTTAATACCCAAGAAAATTAATTCAATGATTTACAATGATTCATTTTCCAAATTTTCAAATTAGGAAATCAGTGGAGAAGGTTTGATTCAACCAAAACCTTTCCTCTATTTCCTAACTTGAGATATTTTTTCCCAAATTCAGATATGATTTTGGTCGTCTGCTGATTTTTTGAGTCGCCTGTTGCAATTTTTATAAACATTTTTGCATTTAGTGGAGTTCTCTCATATTCTATTCATTTTTTTTTATAAGAATAATAATAGAATTAATAAGAAACTTGTCTGGTACTGTTGGGCGACTACGAGTGTACATCCCTATTGGTGTTTATTCAAGGGCAATAGCTACCACCACACCAAACCAACTTATTTAGGAACTTAAGTGATATGGTCAATGATCTATATAATAGCTTCCAATAAAGTATAAAATGGCAGTTTATCACCAAACTTAGCATCACTTTTGATCAATTTAAGGGCGACAATGGCGATAATTTTCTTATTTTGACTTGTCACTATATTTCATCTTCGTGGGTTTTAGAATCATGCTGTTCATCAGTTGTAAATCTGGAAATAATAAATTATTGTCACAAAGCTACTTCTACTGAAGAAATTATAAGAAATATGCTGTCAAAATTTGACTTGACTTCAGATAATATTTTACGAGCTACAACTGAAAATATTCCTAGTACGCATGACGCACTTAAACTTGGAATTGATTGGCTAGGCTGTTATGCTTATCTCCAACTGTGTGACATCAGCTATCCAATACTCGTGACATTTAATTAGCATAGTGCATAAATTAGTTGGATTTTTTCACTCATCATTGGTTGGAGAACCAGCTTTCAGAAAGTGACTCAGATTCCTCAAGGAAAACCTAAGTCAAAGCCTCCAATTGATGTGGAAACATGCTTTAACAGCACTTCTAACTTATTGGGATGGATTAAAAAAAATCATGGAACTAGCTCTAGTTGAGCGCACACAATAAAAAAACAGTATGAAAGTGTCACCTTGTCTAACTGAAATGCAAGTATATAAAATTACCACAATAAAATTTTTAACAATTATTTTATTTTAAATCTGAAGACACTACTTGCGGAAAGCCAATAAGTGCGGAAAAAAAACATGAGTGCTAATTTAGTTTATCATTGTATTACAACTTTGAAAAGTAAATTAATTAACCAAAGTTGTTAATTTTAACAATTTTTGAAAAGTAAATTTGTTGATTATTTTACAACGCAGTTGGAAATCAGGTTTGAATTAAGTGAAGACCTTTTTCTTTATTGCTACCTTTTTAGACTTACTTACATCTTCTTATAGTTAGCTTAAGCCCTCAATTTAAATTTTGCTTAACTTGGCAGAGATGCAAATTGTGGAATCTTACTTAATGGTATCTGAAATAAAAGTATGATTTAAAAAAGATTTAAGTTTTTTTATGTATCCTGACTCAAGGGAACAATTTCTCATCTAAAACAAATGGAAACTTAGATAAAATGTTTGAACATTCTTCTAAAATTGTACCCTTTAGATCAGCAATTGAAATTTGAAATTACTGCGTACATCGAAAACATTGGGGCATTCAGATTGTCCTATAATCAAGTTGCACTTGATTTTCTTGCTGTACAAGCTACAAATTGTTCATCAGAAAGAGTTAATTATGTGGGAGGAATAATCAACAGTAAATGTGATAGCCTTTCCAAGCACAATGCAGAAAAGTTAATTTGGAATAACAGTAACGAAAGAGCTTATTCAAATAACATTTTAATTGTGTAATTGTATATCTTAAGAATATAAAGATAAAAAAAAAAATTAAATTCAGATTTCCTTAAACTAGTGATTTGATTCGAGATTCAATTCAATAACCAATTCAAAACTAAAAGTCCTGATTCACAGGGCCCTAATATATTATATATATATATATATATATATATATATATATATATATATATATATATATATATATATATATATATATATATATATATATACATGCATGTATGTATTTTTGTGTTTGTTAACTTTATATAGTTTTTTAACTTTATTTAATTGCTTTTCTAGATAAAAATTTAGACTTTAGGTTGTGATATAACAAATACATCAAATTTAGCTGTAACAAATGATTAAAAAAAGTTGATAAATATATAAAACTGAATGTGCAACAAAATTTTTTTTAAATTGAATAAAAATTATAAACCTTTATTGGTGTTTGGGTTGATTTATCGTTTGGCCAAACTTTGAGCAATGTAATTTCAGCTGGTTTATTTAATTCATTCCCAACCTCAGGCTTATTTACATAATTATCCGGGTAGACTTCAACTTCACGCCGTCGAAAAAAAACTAAAGAAACATTAAATTTGCAGTCTGAAAAAGTTTCTGAAAATAATTACTAAAAAAATTAAAAATTAATAGCACAGCGCTGTTACATATTTAAATTAACACTGTTGTACATCTAAATAATTTTTAAATAAGAACAACAAAAAAGATTTACCTATTTCATCAAGGTTCAAGCCATAAACATTAGTAACACCAAGAAATTTAACTTCTCCATAACCATCTCTTCCAACAATAAAGTCTCGAACTAAACATTGCTCATTTTTTACCATTTCATCCAAATCTTTTAAAGGAGGCTTAGTATAGTACTCAGGCCTATAAAAAAATAATGATTTACCAGCTCTATCAATTCCTTAAACCTAAAAATTGTAAAAATTTAAAATTTCAAGTGCAAAAAAATTTCTTAAAAACAAATAACAACCTTGTCAACTTAATATGACTCAATGGAAGTTCTCCATTCTCTGTCTGAGTATAGGTTACAACAGGAGACTCTTCTTGGTAGCTTTGCGAAAGAGGAGTCAATAGGTATCCTTTACGTTTTGTTGGTAATGGAGTCTGGGCATTGTGATTTAATTCAGTTATAGTACTATCAAATACTTGTCCGTTCTGAGGTGAATCAACTATGCTCTGAGGGCTCAAAACTGATTTTGGTTTAATATCAGGAGGAGGAGCAATAAGGTCATCATCTACAGTTCGAAATTTTAATGTAACATCATCTGCCACATTATCCTTCAAAAATTTAAATAAATTGAAAAAAAAATGTTTTTCTAGTTATTATTTTGCAATAATTTTTAAAAATATCTTGTAATAATTTTTAAAAATAATTTTAACTAATACTTTATTAAGGCACCATTAAAATAATTGGCTTTTAATTTATTATCTCATAAAATTAACAGTATAATGTAATCCTTTTTTTCTAACTTGAAAACCTATTTTCTAACTGTAAAACTATTGCATTCAATTTATTTCGAAACATAAAACATAGTTAACAACAAAACAATTAGTGAACATTTAGCATAAGATCGATATTGATATAAGTATGCATGTGTCATTGCCAGGGCTCAATTTAATTTTTATAAAGGTCCAAGAAAAAATGTTCGATCCAAACTTGTTTGGGCTGGACAGTGTCCAATCAAATCTTTAAAATATAATTTTTACGGTTTTGATTGAGTTATGCAATCAAAATCTTTTTCATGTTATTCAGTTTATATAATGTTAGTCTAGTGAAATTATAGTTTCTTTCCTTATTATTTAAAATATTTGATCGCAGATTTTTGTTATTTAATAAAACAGTTTCAATTTAATATTTTTTTTAGATTTAATTTTCACGCTGTAACTAACTTTTTGTTATTTAATAAAATAGTTTCAATTTAATATTTTTTTTAGATTTAATTTTCATGCTGTAACTAACTTTTTGTTATTTAATAAAATAGTTTCAATTTAATATTTTTTTTAGATTTAATTTTCACGCTGTAACTAACTTTTTGTTATTTAATAAAATAGTTTCAATTTAATATTTTTTTTAGATTTAATTTTCACGCTGTAACTGACTATGCTTATTATTATTTTTGTTTACAATTTTACAACATCTGTTTTGATGTTATAACAATTTAAACGCAATAAAAATTATCATTACATTAAGAATAACTTTTGATCATTGGTCTTTTTTAAAGTTTTTATTTTACACAAAATTAAAAATTAATTATAATGATCGTTTAAAATAAATGCATCATCTGTAAATTGTTATATTTAAATTTTTTTTGTATTATGTATTTTTTATTATAAATTTAAACGTTTGAAACAATTTTTCCATGTGTTTCTAAAAATCTTTTAAAAGATTTTAAATTATGAATAATGAATAAGTTATATATAAGAATAAGTAAATAATGAATAAGTTAAATTAAGCCTTCCCATCAATTAATTGCTTTATTTTATTTTTGTTTCTATATTTACAAAGAATTGTTCGAGTTTTTTTTTTTAACTTGATTTACTAATTTAAGCATGAAATGATTAAAAATTAGGATTTTAAAAAGACTTCGATGGGAAAGTTATTTTTATAAACAACTTTTTTGTGCAACTTTTAGAAAGAAATGTTTATACAACAAAAAAAGTTTTTTTCTTTTCAATAATTTAATTTCACTTTTAAATAATTTAAATAAAATTTGTTCATTTATTAAACAATAAATAGTCTATTTAATAGAAGTAATTTGTAAAAGGATTGTGCGTAACCTTAATAAAATGTTTTGAAAGATAAGTTTTAAAGTAATTTTTTTCAAAAGTAATTAAAAATGTAACAAAAAGTAATTTTAACTTCGAGTTTTTTTAGCTTTATTTTAAAGCTAATTTATTTTATTTTTTTGATAGGAATTGTTTTGCTTGTTCTTTTAGTTTTTTCATTTCTATTTCCTAGTTTATATTGAGTTTAACGTTTCTTTTTTCAGCGGATTTCTGAAACATTTAAATCATCTAAACAATCATGATCAAGTTGTAACAAAAAAATCATTTGCATGTGTTTGATCGCACGCCATTCCTGTCCAAGCTTTACTGTGTAGAATTTGATTCTTATCGTAAAAATGTCCGATTACTTTGTAAATTGATCGGACAACCTGAGGTTTTAGCCGGACAATGTCCAATGTCCAACCGTTAAACTGTGCTCTGCATTGCATAGATACAAAAAATCATTTTAGAGTAATAATTGAAGTTTCTAAAGTGAATTTAGATTTTAAAACAACTTATACCCTTTTCCAAAATCTAATTTTAAATGTAAAGTTTCATAACATTGTTTAAAATTTCATAACATTGTTTTATGTTAAAAAGAGTTAGTAATGATCATATTTAATATTAAAATATAATAAATTAAAAGCTTTAATTTTGAATAATATTATCCTATTAGGCAAAATTAACAGTAACATACAGAAAGTGATTTTTTCTTTATTACAAGCTTCTTTACATTTCTTTTAGGCATAAGTGATGGACTAAGATCATTTTCTTCTTCCAACCCTTCAAACAAGCGATACTGAAAATATTTTAGTTACAATAATTTTACAAGAAAAAAAGTTTTGAACAAAATTTTTTCATTTAAAGCAAAACTTCATTTTAAATATATAACCAAAATCTTTCAAAAAGATTGATTAGTTTGTAATACCTGTGATATCATAAGCTCTATTATTAAATTTAATGTCTTATCTAAAAAAATTAATACAACTAACCTTTCCCATCGAAGGAGATGAAATGGGTCTAGGTTTTACACGTGCAGTTGGTCGGGAAAAAACCTGTACACATCAATTGATATAAAAACATTAAAAAGAAAACTTCCAATATTATTTTTAAACTAAAGACTAAACTAAATACCTTGTATTGTGACGAAGATTCTTTAACTGTTATTTGCTGAGGAGGCTTTTTTTCTTTGCTTGAATCCTTTTAGATGTATATATAAAAAATATTAAAAATATGTAAAAAAATTAAAACAAATTTGTAAAATAAAATCAGGATGTCCAATAATAAATTAAAAAAGTATATATATATGTGTGTATATATATTACACATACACACAATTATATACATATATATATATATATATATATATATATATATATATATATATATATATATATATATATATATATACACATACAACTAAAAATCCGTATTTAAATAAGCTGTAAAGTGTTTGATATGGAACTAGCAGCAGCCATTAAAGCCAAGTTAATGGCAAGAAAAGTTGTTTTTATTTTTTTTTTAAGAAAATGTGGCTATATCTAACTAAGGTAAATTTAAAAATATGTAAATGGTAAAGTTTATTTTAATGTTTCAAGTTTTACTTTTCAAGTATTTTACAATTATGTTGAATTAGCGTAATGAAAATAAACTATGTACATATAATATCTAAAGAATAATAGAACTGTTTTGATTTGCATTTTGAAAAAATGAAAATTTTAAAAGCAAGCAGAGGATTTGAACCTCCAATGCGCCATCTTTAACTACTTTATAAGTAGAAAGGGAGTTTTTATGCTTTTAATTTAAACATGATTGAAAATCCTAATTTTATATTTCAAATAAAATTAGGATTTTCAATCATGTTTAAATTATTTATATTAAAATTCATCATTGTTTTTTGTTAAATAAAAGAAAGTTTTAAAATTACGTAATATCAAGTAAAATTGGGATTTTATAGCTACTTTATTACTTCCCCGTTTAAACAAACAACAGAATTAAAAAACCATCAAAATAATAATAATAACAGGGCTGACACACCCTGATCTAAAATTGCACGAGGCAGTGTCGATGTGCACACAGTTAGATAATTAAATCAGTATTTCTTATAAAACCTTAACAAACCTCCAGTGTATTTCTAAATTTGTCTATTATCATTACCATAAATAGTATAATTATAAAATATACGTTTATTTATAAACAGTATGTATCTTTTGTAATTTATTAAACCTGTTTTTAGAATTTAATGTAGTTTATATTTTCAAGGTGTTAAGAAATGAAACATGATGATGCATTGATAAATGATGTATTGAAATAGAAAATAAATGATGTATTGAAATAGAAAATAAATGATGCTTTGAAATCAAAAAAAAATGATGCATTAAAATTGAAAATAAATGATGTTTTGAAATAGAAAATAAATGATGTATTGAAATATAAAATAAATGATGTAATGAAATTATATTTTCTTAATCTTACCAATTTAAATTAAAAGGTAGTGATGAACTTATTTAAATTATAAGTTTGGTTTTCTCTTTTTTGTTAGTTTTATATAACTTTATGTAACATAACATACACCTAACTTAATATGTTCGATTATGTTTTGACCTTATTATTAAGCACAGAGTTATTGTCTGGTGATATTTAAAGAAATACAGGTTAGACTTTATAAAGTTGATTTTAATTTTAACAACTTTTCATAAACTTTACATATGAAGTCTTTCTTAATATGTTAGGTTTTTGAGATTTGAGAAGTTTGTAAAACTCCACACAAAAAAGGCAGCTTATGGTACAACAGCAAAAACTAACTTGAAAGATAGACAGCAGAGTACAAAAAAAGATAGAGTTTCAAGTAAAGACATTTTAACATTATTTTGTAATATGAGTATATGTATAATGATATAATATACTTAGATTTGATGTGCAGAGCATTTGATATATATAACTATATGAAACCTTTTTTAGGGTATAATGGAAAGTCTTTTTGATATTAGCAATGCAATCATAGGAGAACTAATTTGTCAGATATTGATAGAAATAAAAAGAGTATAATGAGAGATCTTTCATTCATTGAAGTTCAGAGGAATGAAAGAGTTCAGCTTATTAGTCACAATAAGGAATTATTATTAGGAGCTTAAAGCCAAGATAAGGAATTATTATTAGGAGTTTAAATGAGAATGGAGATATACATAACTTATAAAGAATATAAGAAAAAATGGTGGCAGATGGTGCTTGTGAAACCATACTTAAAAATGAAGAAAATATTGGTGCATGCCTTGAAGTCAAAAAAACAAAAAAGCAATTTTGTTTAGAAGGTTTTCTTTATTAAATTGTTTATATACTTATAAGGCTTTTTTAAAAAAACATCTGCTTCAAATTCATTTCTTTAGAATCTTCTTTAAAGTTTATATTTTATACAAACTATAAAGAAGATTCTAAAGATGAGTTTAAAGCAGACCGACGATAGTTTCAATGAAGTCCTAATAACAAAAGTGAATAAAGAAAAACACATGCAACTACCATTATTTATTAAAACATTATTACCAAAGATAGCCTTATTTCAGCAACTTTTAAGTGTAAAAATACTTAAAAGTGTAAGAAAAGGGATCAGTTACAGAGATCAAACAACATTTATTGCTTGTGTAATGAATTACTTAAAAGTAAAAATAAAACTAAATAGAGAGACTGTAAAACAGAAGCGCTACGAAACTGTAGCAAACAAAGGTATTGAAGTACAAGGAAACTATAGAGATGAATTAAGAGGTAAAAAACTTGTTATCCATTTTGATAGTAAAGTAGTTTCCCATATTGAAGAAAAATTAAAGAAGAAAATTACAAACATAAAATTAAATTGTGATCAAATTCCTGTTTCTGTTACAAGCCCAGAATTCGTGCATAATGATCATCTTCTTCTAGAAGTTGTATATAGTAACACTGGAAAAGCACTTGATCAGGGTTTAGTTATATGAAATCTGTTGGAGTATTTTAAAATAAACCAACTTTTTGCAGTTTGTACTAACACTACTGCTACAAATAGAAATAGGTTCGATGGAACAATTATGATTTTAACAAGAATAAATAATAATAAAAAAATAATAAATAATAATAAAAATAGGAATAACAAAAATAATAATAAATAATAATAAAAAAAACAATAATAAAAAAAATACTGCTATGGTTAATGAGTAAAAATCATATTTACAAACATTAAACATGTCTACAAAGTTATAACTGAGATCAAAAACAAGCCCAAAAAAAAATCCAACTAATATGCTTTATTCTAACTTTAGGAAGTGATGGGAGGAATTTTTGCCATTAACTTCTGCTCTTGATGCTAAATATAGATTTAAAAAGTTTTCTGAGAACTCACTCACTTTTGACTCAGGCGTATACAGTTTGTATTTTGAAGCAAAGAGTTTTATAGAGTTTCCTTTGAATAAATAAAAATATTAGCACAAACTTTTCCAAAGAATGATTACAAACATCTTGTAGAATATCTTGCTTTTTATTTTATTATAAACTCTGATAAGTTAAAAGATTTTAAAAATTATCACCCTGGTGCCTGTCATGCAGTTTGTTTTATGGCAGATTCCGTATATTACCATGTTCTTGAAATGAATAAAAACAAAGAAAAAAATGTTTTTAAGATGTGTTTTATAATTAGAATTTTCCATTCACCTGTGCTTTTGAAGTCTAATCTTGCTAGGTAATCTGTTTTAAATGACTTTGTAGCTTTCAATAATGCACAAATTATACAAAAAGAATGGAACTAAAGGCAGGTAACGCGCTGTTGAAGGATATACAAGCTCATTCTTGGTACTTGTACAAGAGGTAATTCAGCTAAAACAATTGTTATAGTTTTAGCTGAATTACCTCTTGATTTGCAAACTAAATCATCCATTTTAAAAACATTACTTCAGCATAAAGGCCTGAGATAGAACTTAAAAATTTTTAAAAGCCAACAGTTGTTGTTTTTAACGATAACACTCATATGAAAGATTTGGTTATAGAGAAAAGCTTATTTTCATCAAACTGGATTTAGTGAGATTGAGGTTTGGTTTTATACCATTCATACTAATGGCAACTTAAAAGATCTTGAATCATACAATACAATTGCTTTTTTTTTTTAAATCAAAAACTTGAATGTCACAAATGATTGTGCAGAAAAGTATATCAGAATAATCCTGCAATTTCTTGGCTCATCTCAAAATGAAGAACAACAAAAATCCTATTAGTAATAGGACAACATTGTGAATTATTATTTACAAATATTTCCCAGAAAAAAGTAAGCCACTTTTAATAAATGTTAAAATGTTATAAAAATGTTTTTGTGTAGTTTTTTTATTTCAAATACCAATGTTTTAAAAGTTATAACACAAAAAACTGTTAAAAATATGCTATTTACATAAAACCTAAATTCTACAAAAAGCTCTTTCTCTTAGACTTGATATATATATATATATATTTAAATATTATATATATTTGTATATATATATATATATATATATATATATATATATATACATATATATATATATATATATATATATATATATATATATATATATATATATATATATATATATATATATATATATAAACATATATATATATATATATATATATATATATATATATATATATATATATATATATATATATATATATATATATATATACAAATATATATAAATACATACTTAAATATATATAATCTCAAGATTGTTTTTTACTTCAAAAATTCTTTTTATCGAATATATAATATTTGTTTACTTACAGTTAAGTTTCTGAAAAGTGGCGAGTCACCAAATGGTGTATTGGCAATTGCTTTTATTTGCTGCTGTATAATTTGTTGTTGACGAAGTGCTGCTAATGTACTTTGATCTCTTAAAAAATATGATTATTATATATATACATATACATATACATACATATATATATATATATATATATATATATATATATATATATATTATATATATATATATATATATATATATATATAGCCCTCAAAATTAGGGTCGTCATTTGGCATCACTTAACTGCTAACCTAGAAGTGTTTGAGGTTGGCAAAAAATACCCAACCTTGTTTCTATGTTTTATGGTCAAACCTTTTATTCACTTTTTTTTTCCTGTAGGATACTAGATGCAGAATCTGTGTGAGGATTAAGGTTGGCAAATTATTGCTGACCATATTTTTCATACTTTAGAGGGCTGTATATATATATATATATATATATATATATATATATATATATATATATATATATATATATATATATATATATATATATATAAAATGTTCTTACATGTTAGATAAACCTCCAATTGTAGGATTAACACCTGCTAGTCCAGTAGTTGTCCCTCCAAGAGAGTTGAATCCTATAAAAGCAAAACAGTCTGTAAAAAAAACATGTTATCTTAATTTAATATTTCCAACTGTTTTTTTTTTTGTTTTTTTTGTAATAAAAATTTGTAAAAAATTACTACATTGAAAGCACAAAAAAGTTGTATACAAAAAGTTAAATACAAATATGTAAAAAATATTAAATAAATAAATAAGAATGTGCAACAAAAGAAACTTTAAGAGAATATGACGAATCCACTCTGATTTACCTGTATTCCCTAAACCAAACGTGTTAGTTCCAAAAAGAGATGTTCCTGATGTTGTGGCTGCAGTCCCAAAACCTCCAAATGTAGGTTTATTACCAAATAAGCTCCCAGTAGCATTATTACCAAACAAACTATTTGTTGATGTTGTGGTTGAACCAAAACCACTTGTGGCTGCACCAAAGCCACTTGTGGTTGTACCAAAACCACCAAAAGTAGGCTTTGCAGTAGAACCAAATAAACTACCTCCAGTTGAAAATGTATTACTTGTACCAAAACCAGTACTAGGTGTAGATCCAAATCCAAAGGTTGGCTTTGCAGCAGTTGATCCAAATAAACCAGTAGTCTTTAAAACAATTAATTTGTTAAAAAAATTGTTAAAATTATGAGTGAAATTTATTTATTAATTTGTAAAACTTACAGCCGTAGAAGCTGGTTGACCAAATGAAAAACTTGAACCAAACAATCCACCGCTAGCTGATGTTGTAGTAGTTGTGCCAAATCCACCTCCACTAAAAAGGCTACTTGTTTGTGTGTTACCAAACAAACCCTAAATCATAAAACCAAAAAATTAAAGAAAGAAGCATTTTTCAAAATGTTTCAAAACATTTTGAAAAATCCTTAGTAAGACATTTTTTTATAAAATATAAGCAAATTTTTTAATGTTTATTTTACGAGTTTTTTATAAAATATAAGTTTTGTTTATTTATGAGTTGAAGATTTCCTTTTATTACTTAATTTTAAGGTTTAAGGTTTTTATTGTTTACTTTAAATTTTATCAGATCTTAAGGTTTATACTTTTGGATTTAAATGTTTTCAAAACACACAAAAACAAAAAGTGTAAACTAACTGTAGAACTTGTTCCGAATCCACCAAAGCCGCTTGCTGTTGTAGTTGTTGTTGTTCCAAATAAAGATGGCGTCGTTTTAGCACCAAATAAGCTAGTACCAGTTTGACCAAACAGTCCACCAGAAGTTGTATTTGATGCTCCAAAACCTATGAAGAGTCAATGAATAATTTTATATGTTGAATTTTTAATTTATTATAATAATAAATGCACTGTTCACTATCATACTTTGATAATACCTCCAAAAACACTAGGTTTTGAAACTGTAGAGTTACCAAATAAAGAAGTTCCGGCTGCATTGCTTGTTGCTCCAAATAAACCTGTACTACCCAAAGAACCAAATCCTGTAGAAGTTGAGCCACCTTTTCTATTAGCATCATAGTCTTCTAGTCGCAACTCCTTTTTAAAAAAATGTATGAATTTTATTAATTACAATCAAAAATTCTCAAAAATGGACCATAGCTGTCAATATTAAATAAAAATAATTATAATTAATTGAAATATTTCAGATTGTTCATTTAATGTTATTTTTATTAAGGACTAACTATACTATCAAAAACTTATAAAAAATTAAGTAGATAAACATTATAATAATAAAAATTAAAAAGATAAACAGTAAGATAATTAAAACTAAAGAGATAAAATGTAAGATAATAAAAATTAAGGAGATAAACAGTAAGATAAATTTGTATTCGAATCAATTCTTATAATATTATAATAAATACTATTTTAAAAACAAGTGTTAAGCAAAAAAAAAAAAATAATAATAATAAAATTTCACATAAACCCATACTTAATAACATAAAATACAAAATATGCAACAATATAAAAATGATAAACAACCTCAACAGATTTATCTTTGTATTGCTCCATTACTGTAATACATTGGTTTTGTGTTTTAACATTCATTGTTATTCCATTCTTCACAACTTGTTCAGTGCCTGCAACTGGCTATATAATTAATGATAAATATAGAAAAATTGACGAAAAAAAAAAGTAATTTAAGAGAGTTTAAACTATTTTTTAATACAATACAATTAAATAATAATTAACAAAAATGTCATAAATATTTAAACTATAGTCAAAAAAAAAAGTTTGTTATAAGTTAAATAGGAATTAAATTTTGCTTTAAATGTTTAATATTATCTATAATAAGTATTTATGATATGAAACATGAAACACAAATATGTAAAAAAAATATATATGAAAATATATGGAAAAAAAAAATGAAATGTGAAAAAAAAAAAAAATGAAAATATATGAAAAAAACTGAAATTAAGTTAACTGCATTTATTGGTCAAGTTCAAGCTTATTAGTACAAGTGTTTTGTTTAAGAAATGCTAAAAACATATGAATATAATTGTTTAATGAAATGTCAAAGTATAAGAGATTGAGTGTGCTAATTTTATCCTGATTTATTTGTTAATATTATGCATTATGTAGTAAACATAAATACAATGCGGTAAACATAATGCAGTAGAGTACTTCATAAGTAAAGTTCTGATTTCCTTGCCATGTCCCTGGTAGTGCAGCATGTAACACATGAGGTATTATTTGTGGAATTATTTTTCAAGGCTATATTTTAAGGTTAAAGGATTAAAGTAACAGCTGCAGAAATTTTAGTGACCCCTAAGCCTAAATCAGCCCTCAGAATTAGGAAAAATAAGGTCGGTAATAATTTGCTGATCTTATTTTTCATAAACAAAGTCGGCAAATTATGATTTTCATAAATAAAGTTGGCAAATGATGATTTTCATAAATGAGGTTGACAAATTATCATGATGCTGACCTCACACAGTCTGTGTGAGGTCAGCATCAGGTCAGCAGAAAAAATGTAAAATTTAGGTTTGACCATAAAACATAGAAACAAGGTCGGCAATTTTTTGATGACCTCAAACACTTCTAGGTCGGCAGTTAGGTCAGCATTGCTAAATGCTGACCCTAATTCCAAGGGTTGTTATATATATATATATATATATATATATATATATATATATATATATATATATATATATATATATATATATATATATATATATTTTATATTATATATATTTTTTGTAACTGTTTCGCATTTATGCCAGGTCGCACTTACGCCATTCGCGCTTATTCAGTCGTCCCTTTAATTTATACCTATACTTTATTTATATGATATTTTTATTTCTAAATGTTTTATTTCTATATTTTATTTTTATTTATATTACATATATACTATACTTTGATTTATATTTATGTATATTTAATTTATATTTATACTATATCTACATGAAATTTTTTTTCTATATTATATAGTAGCAAACTCTAAACCTTAGAAATCAATCTATAACACTGAGCAATCAATAAGTTTTTTTTACACCTATAACCTAAAACACTAAGATGTCTATAAGTTTTTTCTACACCTACAACCTAAAACACTGAGCTGCCAATAAGTTTTTTCTACACCTACAACCTAAAACACTGAGCTGCCAATAAGTTTTTTCTACACCTACAACCTAAAACACTGAGATGCCAATAAGTTTTTTCTACACCTACAACCTAAAACACTGAGCTGCCAATAAGTTTTTTCTACACCTGCAACCTAAAACATAAGCAGTCAATTAGTTATTTCTACACCTATAAACTAAAACACTGAGTTGCCAATAAGTTTTTTCTACACCTACAACCTAAAACACTGAGCTGCCAATAAGCTTTTTCTACACCTACAAGCTAAAATGCTGAACTGTCAATAAATTTTTTCTACACCTACAACTTAAAACACTGTGCTGTCATCAAGTTTTTTTAACTTTGCAATATGATAAACACAAACCTAACTAAAAAACTTTAACATAATCTTACCAGTTTTTTTTAAATTTGTATTTATAAGACATAAAAGTAGTAGTAGTTTATATTAACAAGATACACATAAAAGAGAGTACATAAAAAGTACATGGAAGCAAGTACATAGAAGAGAGTGCGTAGAAAAGAGTACATAGAAGACAAGGCATGGAAGGGAGTGCATAAGATAAAGTATGTGGGAAAAGTATATGGGAGAAGAAGATAAATATTTTAACTAAATTTAAATAAAATTTCAATAGTAAAAAATGTAAATAAAAATCATTGATCGTTTGTTTTCTTCTATTTCACAATCACTAGACCTTTTTTCACTAGAATTGTTTTGAGGAGGTAAAAACAGCAAATGTTTACAAACTATATAATGATTAATACTTTATATTCATTATAAATTTTTAAATATTTTAAATTTAAAAGTAAATATTGTATTACCACAAACTTTACAGTTGTTCCAGTGGTCTGCTGTGCTCCAAATACTAAACAATTGATAGAAATATTAATAGGAACAAAAAGTTAAAACAATATAAAATAAAGATATTAAAATTTAAAAATGAAACTTTAAAAACATCTTAATAAATTATGACGAGAACCAAAACACCATAAAGCATAAAGCAGCAACCTGACATGCATATAATATTTTATTTTGACTATTTGAGTTAAAAACGTTTCAAACATATAACCCGTTTTGTTGAAAATTATGCAACAAATCTAGAAAGAACCTGGAAATCATATTTTAACAATATCACATGTGGTTTAAATCAGACTTTATTTATTTTTCAAATGAAATAGCATGCTATATACCCCATTTGATAAAATTATTTTAAATTTCAATTTCAATTTTCAAAAAGTGAATACACAAAAAGCCAAATTTGGAGCAAACATAAAAAAATACAATTCCAAAATAAAATTCCAAAAATATTGTCATTTACCTTGTGCTCAAGGAGCAAAACACCCTAAAAAATACCCCAAATTGTTCCTAAATTATTTGGCTTTGAGCGCAAGGTAAATTTCCATATTTTGTAAAGTTTTTTTTTCTAATATGATCATAATGGTCTTAAGTTTTTTTTAGATTGTTGTGTACCTTAGTTTTTTCATGATTGTTGTTTAAATTAAAAAAAGATTTTGCAAAAAAATATTTTTGCACAAATATGCAAAAAAAGAACTTTGCGCAAATATGCAAAAAAAATGCTGTTTTTTTTTTTTTTTTTTTTTTTTTGCATAAATTATGCAAAATCTTTTTTTAATTTAAACAACAATTATGTAAAAACCAGGATACACAACAATTTAAAAAAAATTTGGACCATTAAGATCACATTAAAAAAAAATTTTACAATTTAGGGCATTTTTGGGGGTATTTTGCAACTTAAGGTAAATATTTTTATAATTCTTATTTTGGAATCATATATTTTTTATACTTGCTCCAGATTTGGCTTCTTGTGTATTTGCGTTTTGAAAATTTTATTTTAAAACCTCCAGTGGAGTGAAAAAATGTATGAAAATCAAAAAGTTAAATTAATAACTTTTAGTTATTTAAATTATCTGCCATTTTAGACAAAGTTACTTTAAATTGTTAACGTTTTTTGTTTTTAAACATTTTCTAGTGGGCAACGACTAAAAATTGTTGCGCACTAGAAAATGTTTAAAAACAAAAAACACCAAAAACAGAAAAACAGGAATGGCGTGAATTGAGTGCTTTGCTGACCATGCAAATGATTTTATTATTTGACAACTTGACCACAACTGTTTAGATGATTTTTAAACATTTTAGAAATGCACTGAAAAAAGAAACGCTAGCTAACCTTAAACTAGGAAGAAAAATAAAAAATAATAATAATGAAAAAAGAAATTCCTTACGAAAAAGAAAACATATAAGCACTAAAATAAAACTAAAAAAACTCAAAGTGAAAATGACTTTTTGTTACGTTTTTAATTGCGTTTATAATACAATTTATCTTTTGAAAGGTTTTTAAAGTTATGCAAAACACTTTTGCAAATTACTTCTAATGATTGTTTTTAAAAAATGAACAAGTTTTATTTAAATTACTAAAAAGTGTTATATAAAAATTATTTTTAAATTGTATAAACATTTTTTCCAAATGGTCGCCAAAAAAAAAAATTAATCAAAAAAATACCATAGTCTATTTAAAATAGAAATTTTTAATCATTTCATGCTCTAATTAGTTCAAGTTAAAGAAAAACAGTTTTAAATAATTATTCTTTTTAAAAATAGAAATAAAAAAAAATAAAGCAATTAAATCATTTAATTGCAACGTAAGATTTAATTTAACTTATTCATAATATTATTCATAGTATTTAAAAAAATTATCTTTCAAAATATAACATTATTTGTTAATTTACACAAAATACATTTATTTTAAACAATCATTATAATCACAAAGTAAAAAGCTCAGAAAAGTAACATAATTTTTTTTATAGCATTTAAATTGCTAAAATATCAAAATAGCCATGGTCAAATTGCTAAAATATCAAAATAGCCATGGTCAAAATGTAAAGAGAAAATATTATAAGCGTGGTAAGTTATAGTATGCAATCGCACACCATTCCTGTCTGAGCCTGAAAGTGCAATTAAATGGAGGTCAACAATACATGTGCTGTTAGTTTTAAAATCTTTGGTAAAAAGTCAGCAAAGCTTCATAAAATAACTAAAGCTATCGAAGAAAAACTTTCATTTGAGCCATGATCAGAATTTAGTTAACCATCCTAAAGATATTTGTAGCAATTGTTAAAAAAATGCGTGTGATAAATTTTGTTTTTTCTTAAAATTATGTAAAATATATGAACTTCAATAATATTACCTATATACTATCCCTCCCCTTTTAATCAAAATATGTAAAAATATGTAAAATAAGCCAAAATATGTAAAAACTTTATTTTAACTATTTCTTTCAAATTTAGCTCTAATTTTTTCATTCGTTAAGATTTTTTTTCTTTTTCAGTTAACGGTTATTTTTTCTTTTTAATTTTTTCTTTATTTTAGTTTTGTGTTCTTAGAGCATTTCTTAGATCATGAAAACACACAAATTTTCAGAACATACAGGTTCTCAATACCCTTACTTAATTTAACTACTGTGTTATTTCTTAATAACAAAAAAAAAATTGGACGTGGGGACACATTAAACCTGGCTGTCACTGTGGTTCACAGCGTATTGATCTTATCTAAAGTCTATTAAGTGAAATGCTTAAATAAATTGAAAAAAAAATATATATATTTATTATTTTTATAGTTTTTTTCTTTCAAATTTAGCTCTAATTTTCTCATTCATTAGGATTTTTTTTCTTTTTTCAGTTAACAATTATTATTATTTCTTCATTTTAGTTTTGTGTTCTTAAAGCATTTCTTAGAGCATGAAAACACACAAATTTTCAGAACATGCAAAAGGCACTGGCTAATTAGTTAACACAAAATGTTATATGTGTGGTCAGGAAAAAGGTGTGACATGCGCAGGTCAGCAACAAACTGATATAATATTTTTTGTAACAGAATTATTCAGAATGCATTGAATTATGCAGGGGTGCATGAAATGAGAAGTTTAGAGTAAAATAACCTTTTTTTTAAACACAACAAAAATTGTATTTATTACAATTACAATTCATATTAGTTTAATTCATATATAAACATTATACAAATCCATTGATTTAAAAAATAAAAATTACAAAATAGTATTGTTTAATTTAATAAAACAATTTGTATCGAAAATAAGATGTATATTAATAAATCATTTTACAAATCTATATTTTATATGTAAATTATAAACTTTACCTGAAGTACTAGCACCAAATAACCCTGTTGATGATGTTGCACCAAATGGATTGGTAGTTGCAGCTGATGTTCCGAAACCTCCTCAATAAAGATAATAATATAAAATATTTTATGTTTTTTAAAAAAGAAAATCAGGGGAAAAAATCACTTATAACATATAGGGATGTGTGAGAAATTTGGGTTAAAACCAAGTTTGAGTTAAATTTAAATTTATTTTATAAAAATATAAAAATAAAAAATTTAACATAGTTTGAGCTTTAAATAGTTTATATGTGTAGAAAGGTTCTTCATTGATACTAATGTTTTCTACCTTATTTTGCTTTTTTTTGAGGGCAATTCTTTTATATTGAATGTTTATAGTGCTACCATATAGAGTTTCTTAAATTTTTTACCTAGGTTCATACTTTCATTCATAACTACACAGTGGTATATTTATACACGGGTGTCAAGCAGTCTTAACTGTATTTTTAATCTATATTATATTACTTATTTAACATCACAATATTGAGATTTAGAGTTATAATATTGGATTTTGTAAATTTAAGCCTAAGATTAAAGATTAAGCCAAAGCTTGTATAATAAGCCTAAACATAAAATCTAAGATCAAGCCAAAGGTCTCTCAAGATATTTGAAATTAATATTTGAAGAACTGAAATTAGTATTTGAAGAACCCAGGCATCCTTCTATCAAACTTATATCTTTATTCTTATATATCAAACATCTATAAAAGGGTAAATATGTAGTAAGTATATAAGTATTAATTATTATCGTTGTTATAAAGATATGTTCTGGAATGTTGCTTAGCAACACAACTTAAATTTAACTTTCTATGTTTTATTTAAATTCTGTTTTAATACGGTTTTTAAATTAAAATCTGTCCTACATGTTTTTAAATTCAAAAGTGTTAAAAAAACTAAGAAAATATCCTACCAAATCCAGTATTTGTTGCTCCAAATGCATTACTTGTTTGAGGTGCTTGAAACAAACTTGTGCCTCCACCAACACCAGAACCAAACAAACCTCCACTTGTGTTAGTAGTGCCAAAACCTCCAAAACCTTTAAATAGTAAAAACCTTATTAATGAGGAAAAATTTTTATTGTTAAAATTTAAAGCCTTGTGCGGTTTGAACAGTTTTTCATAATTTTCTTATTTATCTATGACATGGAAGAATTGAAGTAACTTTTTACAATCATAAGCCCTTATATTCGCATATTAAAACTGCTTATTCCAAAAGTTTATTGTTTGTAAGATGTAGTTTTTTTTTATGGCAACTCCCAATTAGGTTTTTAAATCCTTTAAAGAGATACCAAACTCCAAAGACATGTTCATATTAAAGATAATGTTAAAATAAATGAATGCATACCGAGAAAAACCAATATTGTTGTTTTAGCCGAAGCTCGCCTTCTCCATTTTACTCAAAAACTAAGAGTCTTTAAATTATACGTCGCAATCTACAGACTTTGGTAATTCCTTTGAAGCGCATTTAATTCATAAAAGTTTTAGTATTTGAAGTCACGGTAGACTTTTGACAAAATGAAAAATGTAATTAAACAAAAACTTTTTTACTTTTATTTTAAAAGTACTGAAATGTCTAATTAGGAGTGGTGCCTAAATACTGTTATTTAATGTAAACAATGAAATTTCTTCACCTCTATTTAGCAGAGGTTGCTTTGTTTCCCTGTATGCACTAGAAGCCCTAATTTTGAAATGTACATTTAAAAAGTGTTTACATTAGGGTGAAGTGGGACAGAAAAAATAAATATTTATGCCCTGCTTCTTTCTGTTGCCATTTGATTATTTTAATTGGTGAATATTTTTATGTATTTTTTTTGTTCTCCCGTCAAAAAAAAAGCATTAACAATTAATTTCATTAACTGACAGTATTAATTATAGATATTTAATGAACTGTTGAATTTTTTTATTATAAAAAAATTTAACAGTTTTTAAATTACCTTTATTTAATTTAAATTATCAAAATGTTGGAATGCGTGCGTTAAAAACATATTATATTTGGTATTTCCCAGTTTATGTGTTGTATTGGGCATTTGTTTCTTAACATGGAAAATTAAAAATTTAACAAAATTAACAAATAAAAGTTTTCCAATAAACGCTACAATAATGCTACACAATAATGCAACCTTATATAAAATTTATTAAACGCTTCTATTTAACTATTCTATTCTAATTCTACACAATTTTGCAACCTTTAGTCATAATAATTACAATTTTGTAAATAAAAAAACGAAATACATGTTTTTCAAAATAAATTTAATTAAATATATTCTCACATGGCTAAATAAGATAAATTTTGTGAATATGTGAATACACCTGATGGAAATTTTACTAAACAATAGATGCTGTAACGTCTGACTTTTTCGCACAAAATTCAATTATGTCAGACAAAAAAACTTTGTTTTTCCTCAAATATATTAGGCCTGGTGAATAAAAAAAAGCAATTGCTTTTGCTTGGTAATTGGTCAGGTTTACATGAATAAAAATTTCAGCAATTTTCCCTAAGTTTTTATCACGTAAAACTGACCAATTACTGAGTAAAAGCAATTGCTTTTTTTTTTTATTCACCTGGCCTATTGATCTTAAAATAAAACAACATAATTTTAGGAGCTTTTTATTTATTGCTTAGTTGTTCTAAATTATTTTTCGTTCAAGTTAATATTTCAATATTTACAGTTGCAATATAATAATAAAAAAAAAGTTTAATGAACTTTTTATTTAGTTATTTATTTTTTACCTACTTTTGTTATAAAAAAATTTTAGTACCCCCGTCATGAAATCATTTGTTTTAAATATATTTGGACATGTTTATTTAAACTAAGTTTTTTCATTTGATTTTCCGAACTTCATGCAAATTCAGACGAATTATTGTCTAACCAAATAAAAATACTGTTACTAGTTTTATATGGGTAATTGATATAAAATAATTTTTTTCCGAATCTTGATTAAGTTAATAAATACTTCATCATTTATTAACATTAAATATAGCGCAATAAAAATTTATAGCAACGAACCAGCATAAAATATTTAAGGTTTTTAATATCTTTTTAAATGTTAAAAGTAGAAAATAAATAACTAAACAAATAATGAAAAAATTTATGAATAAAAAGTAAAAATTTTTCCAGAGTTTCATTTGACAAAAGTCTACCGTGATGTCAAATACTAAAACTTTTAAGAACTAAACGCGCTTCAAAGGAATTATTGAAGTCTGTAGATTGTGACATAATTTAAAGACTCCAAGTTTTTGAGTAAAATGGAGAAGGCGAGCTTCGGCTAAAACAACAATATTAGTTTTTCTTGGTATGCATTCATTTTTTATTTTTAATAAAAAAATCTTGGTTCAAAACTTTTTTTTCAATATTATTTTTAATATGAGCACAACATGTGTTGGGAGTTTGGAATCCCTTTAAATACAAGGTTTATGTATTTAAGGTTATGGTTGTTAATAAGAAAAAAGTTGTTTTCATTGCAATTCCTAAAGAATTTTTTAAATAAAGAAACTAATTAAAAGCTTATTCAAGCAAATAAAAAGAAAAAAGAAATAAAAAAGTGACTAAATGGAATATGGTTATTTTTTTTGTGCTTAAAAAACTTCCACCAATGGTTAGTTTTTGAAAGTTTTAATCATATTAGAGATTTGTTAAATGTTCAAAGGTCTTTTATTTTTATTTTTTGTACATACATTGACTTAAATATAGAGAACATGCAGGAAGTGTGCATACATCAACTCAGGACTTGCGTAAGGGCAGGTAATTTTAATACTAACCCTAACCCTTTCCTCAATATAAGTAAACCTTTTGCATGTTCTCCCTATTTAAGTCAATCTAAAGTTATTTTCAACTTTAACTTTTCTATCGCTTGTGATCTAGACAATATTCCTGTCACAACAAATGTGTTCTCCAGGACTCTTTTCATAACTTTCTAAACTATTTAACAAGCTAAAGTTAAAGCTTTAATTGAATCTTGTTTGGCTGACAGAAAATAACTCCAAATTTTTTTTTAAACTTTGGAGATCATCCTGATTAATCTAACTATCACCCAATCAGTTTTCATGTCATCATCAAGGTCTTTAAAACATTTATTAACAAGCTTCTTATATCTCATCTTGAGTCAAATCTCTATAAAAATCGAGTTTTTTTAATCTCTTTTTCTACTGCAGACTTCTACTGACAGAGAGTTTCTACAGTGCATTAGATGGAAGCAATCAGCAAGTGTCAAGCTTGAGCCTATATCCCATCGTTATAATACCTTTTTTCTCTACAAATACTACTATGGTCATTGCTTACTTGATCTATTATCACTTGTTTCGTCAACTAAAACTCATTCTTGCCCAACTTATCATTCACCAAAGTTGCATCCTATTTATTGTTTCTTTAAGCTCAAAGAATTTTAATTTTATTTTATTTCTCAATGTTTTTAATGATCTAGTATTGTTGCTTTGGAATTTTTTTCTTGGAATTACTTTCATGTTTTCCTGACTTATACAGCTTAAAGTTTTTTCTTCTTTCAACTGCTTTCTTGCTCTTCTTTATATTCTCTTAACACCCCTATTAAGTTGTTGTCAAGGCCAGTAGGTGTCAAATGGGGAGGGGGGAGTCACATGGGGAGGGGGAGGGGGTACCATTATAACTTTGCCAACTAAAAAAAAAGGTCCTTGATTTTTGAAATTAGCATGACTGCATAGTCAACATTTGCTGACTAACTTGTCTAAAGAAGCAACTTTTGTTATGCTTTGCTTAGCAACAGGGTAAAACTATTTAAGCCCCATATAAAACATTGAAAAAAGTTTTTACACAAACACAGGTGACAGCCTCAAATTTACAAAATTTTTTAACAAAAATTGTTTAAATGTTGTTGATAAGATATCTTTAAGTAATAATTTAAATATTAGTGATACATTTGCCATTAATTTTCTTATTTTCTTTTCAGAAGTCAGTCTAGTACTTTTTAAGGATTCACCCCACCCCACCCACCCCCCATTATATTCGTAGACTTGCCTCTGAATTTAAGCTATTCTTAATTGTTAAAAGTGTCAAGATTTCCATCATAGTCTTAAAAAAGTGTTCTCCAGAATTCTCTTCAATTTTTGTTAAACTTTTAAAATGTGCTAAATAAGTGGTTCCAATTTTTCAAAACTCTAGAAAACACTTTGACCTCTCTAACTATAAAAGTTTCTTTATATATTGTTTTTGAAATTAATAAATTAATCTAATCTCCATTATTTCAAATTGGTTTTGGGCATCTGTAAGTTTTTTAGGTTTTTCAATACCATTTAAAAGCAACAATTGATCATCTTACACAACTAATATAAAACAGAAAAGAAAAAAATACAAAAAAACAAGGTTTTTCTTCAGTGTAAATTAATTAAAGTTTATTAAAATTAAGTATTTAGAAGCAAGTTTAATTCATTTAGAGCAAAATATAATCTAACAATCTACAAAATGCTTGTTGGAGAGCAATACATCTACCATTATTTCAATTTAAACAAGTTTTTGGGCATCTGTGTAAGTTCTTTAAGTCTTTTAACACCTTGTAAAAAGCAACAACTGATATAATCAATCATCATACACAATATCAACTAATATAAAACAGCTAGGAAATATGGATAGAAAAATAACAAGATTTTTTTCAATGTAAATGAATTAATTAAAGTTGCTAAAAATCAAGTGTTTAAAGGCTTGTTTAATTCATAGGTAATGTTTAGAGAGCTTCTACCAAACATATTCTAAGTTTATAAATGAAGTTAACAACAAAATGATGGATCAACACATAAAGAGTCAGCAATAACTACTATGCAAGATAAACGTAGTATTACTCATGATCCAACTATTGATTAAATTGCGCATTAAATTTAAAATTTATGCATTATTAACTCTGCATCAACTAAAAAACAGCCAAGTATTACATTGAACTTTTTTTTAAGGTCATTAAAAATTTTAAGGAAAGGTACAACAAAAAACTATTTGCAATGGGAAGAATTAAAAGAATGAGAACGTTTATCAAAGAAACATATTCCAATGTTTTTACATTTGAATATATAAAA